CCCGATAACCCCAGGAAATCCGTTTTTGTCATGACACATCCATTTCTGTCTCCATTTTTCCCTTACATCGTACCATACTTCCTCACCACCTCGGCGACCTGACTGGCAAGTTTCTCCGCCTCAGTCTTGGAGTGGGCTTCAGCATACACACGGACTGCATCCTCTGTCCCAGACGCCCGGGCAAAGGCACGACCTTTGACATACATTTGGCAGTACTTGTCAATCTCCTCCTGGGCCCCTTTGGGAGACTCGAGTCTTCGCTCTGCGTCAACAGCTTTAAAGATGGATCGGTCATTGACCACGACGCGGACCAGGCGGTTAGGGAGGTCGATGTAGGTGTTGCGCCAGTTCTCAAGCGTCCAAGATTTGTGTGCAAGCACGACTTCAGCGAACAACATGTCGGAAATGGCGTCACCAACGGCTTGGTTGATCAGGTCAATACAAGCGCGGAGGGACTCGAGAGCATGTTTCTGTCCAGGGGACTTGGGTTCGGATTCTCTGATGAGCTTGATTGCGTTTTCTGAGAAGAGAACTGTGCCGTGTCCGTTCGCCTCGAAATACACACCAATGTCGTAGCGGGCTGCAGCATGGTGAAGATGTTTGACGCCAGTGGGAGTGATGGTGACGGGCAATTTGAGTACTTTCTCGACGTACTCGGTAGCCGCTCCATTGGCGTAGGCAGTTTGCACGATGCCGATCTTCAGCTTCTGGTCAATTCCAGCGACACGAGTCATGTCCGCAAGGAAAACCGCCCCAAGAGTAGCGATACGATCACCATCCAGAAGGTGGAAAGTGTTCTGCTCATCGGTGTAGTAGTAGACCACCCGATCGGCGTCGCCGTCGAGAGAGCAGCAACGATCTCCTGGTTGCGCGTTGGAGTTGGGAGGGGCACGCTGCTTAGTCTTGACATAGTCCGCACCACACTGAGGAATTCAGTCAACGGTCAATAGGGTCTACGATCTGGTGAAGGACTCACCTCGAAATTGAGGGCCTCCGGTTTGACCACATCATCGTTAACCACCTTGATATCGATGCCTCCTTCTTTGGCGGAGGGCAGATATTTGATCAGCTCCTTCAATTTCGGTCCTCCAACGCCATTGGCACAGTCGACAGTGATGGGTCCCTGGATGGTACGACCGTGCATAATAGTCTTGAATGCCTTGGCCATCTTTTCATAGTAGCCTTGCTCGGTTGGCTCTCCAAAGGCGTATGGAGAATTCATGGTGTTGAGGCAGCGGACAATATAGTGCAACTGCGGGGTGGTCATGAGACCATGGTCGACATACTCAACGTTGACGGCGTCCAAGGCGGCTTTGAGAGCGGTGACCAGACACGGTCCAGAAGCACGAGTGTCGCGGGCAAACACCACCTTTGCGGGTCGTTCATGGAGCTGGCTGATGTTGCTGATCAAGGTCTCGTTGAGCAGTTTCTCGTATTCCACCCCAAGCTGCTCACTGGGAGTATTGGCCAGGACAGTCGCATACGATTCCCATGATTGCTGTTTCAATTGTCAGTCACGTGGTGAGGGCGATATGAACGACGCAATCCGGTACCTCAAGCATGTCACCCTATTAGTCCTCCTGTTAGCCTTCTTCATGTCGATATGTGATATGTGAATGATGACATACCATAGGATCAACCAACTTGACTCCGTTGTCTTCCGCCGGGTTGTGACTAGCGGTGATCATGATCCCAATTGTCGCATTGCGCTTCTTGGAACGAAGCGCAGCGATAAGGCCAGCGGTGTAGATGACATGGTCCAGGCCGACATTTCTGAATGCCACTCTTTGTCAGTTGAAAGAATTACGGGCAAGGTCAGGTGGAAGGAGAGAGGTAGGTGTCAGCTTCGTGCGGCTGAACAAGGACGTACGCCTTCATGCGGAACTGGAGACACTCGTGTTAGTTCCAAGCATCAAAGAAGGAGGGAAAAACGTACACCTGCAGTGCCATATTCATACTTTCTCCCTGAAAGGATGGGATATGGCTCAGCACCTTTGGTGATACGATCCAGAAGATCCTTGGGCAGATGAATGACCGGCTTTGGCTTGTTCAAGACCGAGTCTCGAGGGTCTGGGTAGGACATGATGGGCAAGGCGAGACAAGGTGTGCACACAGGGTTGCACCCACTCACGACCTGCTGATAATGCTGGAATGAAGCAAGACTTTGCCCGAAGACTTTGCCCGCTGGTCCTGGAGAAGGAAGAAGACAAGGAAATAAGAGGAAAGGTGATCTGCGATGAGAGAAGATTGAAAACGAGGCGGGATGCGCAAGTCACTAAGAAAGACTTCTCCAGCAGACGGTTTGTGCATTCGCTAACTAGGCTGAAGGTGCTTAGAAGCCACCAGCCGCGCCGAGCCACAAGGGCCACCAGATGAGAAGTTACTCCCCGCGTGCCTGACTAGTGACCTTTTCGGCGTCCTAGGGACCAATAGGTGAGTTTAGTCGAGGCGGCAGGGGCGGCTGAGGCGCCCAACAACGCCCCAAATGAACGTGGGGGGTCCCTAACAATAATCGACCGTTTATGCCTGTCACGTCAGAGATGCCCTGGGCGCTCGTCCCATGACCCCTCCAACCCCTCCCGCTCGCGTTAAACACCTCCGACTGGCGGGGTCAAGTACCTTTGTAAGGTAACTAGGGAGAACACAGAAGATAGTTCAGCAGCAGCCGAAGGTATGGACCCTCGGGTTCGGCTCGTTGAATCTTGAAATCTTGACTTTGGTCTCGTAGCCGTTATTCGCTACAACAACCAGCATTGCCCCTCGGCTCTCGTGAGAACCTGTGGAGGTCTGAAGGCTTAGGTGGCTGTGGTTATGCTTTGAGTCGCTGCCTGGCGAGATCTTCTTGAGCATCTTTGATCAGAAAGCTGCGTGGACGGGTCAGCAAGAGTAATCAACCAAGAGACAAATAGTTGCCACCTTACCTATACCACCAGATAGTAGGTATCACGGTTCCAAGATGCCATAGGCTGTGAGCATCTATCATCCCAGCCATCGGAGGAAAATCGAACAGCTCCAAGCTCATAGCCATGATGATCCAAGCTACAATCAATCCCGGCCACGCTGCCCACGATTTTTGCAGCTTGCGGTATCGCGTGACGCTGAACCAACTCCAGAGCAGATTTTGAAAAATACCTGCAACGACATTGGCTGCCATGTTGTAAGTATAGTCCCAACTCCACGCCGTCAAATAAGTGACGTGCGCCACATAAAGGAGGATGCAGAGAACCGTCCACGCCCGTAGGATGCTCTGTTTCATTGGGTCGTTCTGATCCAGTCGAAATACCCGGATGGGAGAGTAATAAAGGCCATAGAGAACACTGGCACCGGCAGCGAAATAGTCCAGCTTCTCGGTAATGTTAAAGTCTCGGGTGTGGAAAATCATGCTGAATATCCAACTGGCGAGTCCAAAGTAGCCAAAGGCCAAGTAATATGGTCGGAGAGGGTACCGAGCGGGAATAGATTCGCGAATTCTCTGCATGCCATTCCGATGGGCAAGAAAGTTCATCAATGAGAACAAAACAGAGAACGGTTCCTGGATGCCCATGAAACGATAGAAGGGCCACTTTCCATGATACTGGACCACCGGCTCAATCATGGGTGGATCTCGTGCCTTTCGGCGATCGGTGATGACATGCTGGCAGGTATAATCACATTCGGATGGACAATCCCAGAGCAGAAGTCTTAGATGAAGAGCTGAAGGCAGGGAAGAGTCAGCTATAGCTTTGGATAGCCCATCAAGGGAATACTTACGTATGCTTGCTCGCCCCGACTCGCAATTCTCCTCGATACAGACCTGACGCCGTTAGCATTTGTAAGGAGCTTGACGGAAGACATTCAAAGGGTGAACTTACTTGAACACATTCCCGAAATTCAGGGAGGTGGTCACCCAAAGATGCTTTGCACGAGCTTGCGAGGATCAAGAGAACCAGAATAAGGGCAGAGATCCTGATAAAGCCGCCCGACAAGCACCTCATGGCCATGTATCGAAGCCAGAACTATATTATAAGTTTGCGTTTTCCGTGAATGTTCGTGACCAACAATACGAGAGCAGAAAGTCTCAGTCAAGGGGCGAAAACAGGGGGCGCAAGCAGCCGGACTGATTTTGACTAGCCGTAGTTGGGGATCGCTGCTGGTACAGAGTCTCCTCCCTTTATCATTCGTTGGGATCTATTCCGAGGGTCCGAGCCGAAGAGTATCACTATGGCGGGGCGGGAATTGGACTTTCTATTGATGTATTTGTACTTGGTATATGATGAATTATGATCTATCACGACACCTGGAGGAACAGGGGCCACAACAGGAAGGGTTCAGTCGGAGCAACAAGTTCTTGGCTGGCGAGGCTGCTGCAAGGCTGAGACAAGGCTGAAGCTGGCAAATCTGGCAACAGATGTGCCGCCTCGACATTCACAGTCTAGGCTATGTCTACCGCGTGAGATCCTATTGTTTTCCATATGGAAATGGCTCTAGGCAGACACTCTGTCGAACCCAGTGCAACACACCCATTACCATTACGGCCGACAGAGTCCGTGCCCAGTGAGCTCATGATAGGTTTGATAACATCATTCCAACGCCGTCCATATCCTAAGAGGGCAACACATATACACTACTGAGGTTGCTTCCTCTGTCAAGACTATCTAGGTAGTATACTAGAATTGTCCCTGACTCACTTTGCTCACCTATAATTAGGACTACGTCGCTGAGCGCAGCATCGCAGGCTTCCTTAAAAGCAGCGTGACATGCCAAGGACGGGACAAACAGATCTCCGACTCGGCTACAGTGACTGCGGGCAGCAGGGGAACCTCCCACCATAGATATCAACACCAACAAAACACCACATGACTCTACAGGTGAGGACCTAGATAGTTTCAGCCTCCCATAAAATATGGCATCGGCATGTAAACATACTGCAACATCAGACGCCAGATGAGACCTGTCATTTGGCAAAAGACCTCGTTCCGATATGAGATCATCCCTGTTGGCATCCCTGCGCAGTCAACACGATGGACGCTGGTGATCCAGCGACTCCAACTGACGCCAGTCATCCTCCACAATCTCCTTCGGAACAGACACCTCGCAAGCTTCCAGACGACCTGCCGACATCCCTAGATGACCGTCGTCCATTTTCCAGCTATGGCGAGGAAACCGAGTTATATGATGGATGGCAAGGCAAGCAGCCCTCACAGGTCTCGTGCTTCGCGGAGATGAATACTTACAAGCGGTTGTTTTGGAATAGGCTCATCCCAGTATATCACGGCACCCACCCCTGCAAGAGCCCTGACATTCGACCTGCATCTGGATACCCCGGCCTACGATGATGAGGAGACATTCGCCCGCATACAGGACAGCGACTCGCGCCTGATGGAAATGGTGGCAGCTCAGGCGCATCACAGAGAGGATGGCAGTCCTGGACAGGATGAAGATGCCATCGCCATGGACGACAAGCTCTCGGACAGTGAGAAAAAAGAGATTCTACAGAAAAGCCTTAACATGGCAGCAAGTAATGGAGATGTGGCTCGCATCCAGAAGCTGGTTGGAGGTAGGGCCAAGCAATATGTTGATGTCAACCAGCCAGATGAAGAGGGTACCGTGCCGCTAATATACGCGAGCTGTTTTGTGCGTGCTGCCCTACCAACAGACTTGTTACTCCGGCTGACGCGTGTCAGGGACATCATGAAGTTGTTGCCGCCCTTCTGAACGCTGGAGCTATCGTGGACAAGCAGGATCGAAACCAGTGGAGCGCATTGATGTGGGCAATGACCAACCGTCACAAGCAAATTGCCAAAATGCTGCTCGATCATGGAGCCGACCCTGACATCAAATCTTCGTCTGGTGGCACCGCGCTTGACTTCGTCCAACCCGGATCCGATTTCTCTCACTACCTGCATGAGAACGGATATCATTTCGGGGCGTCGAGCTTGGGAGATGACTTTTACAACTCGGGCTTCTCCCAGGATCGTTTCGAAGAAGAGATGGCCGAGAACGAGATGAAAAGAAGGATGTTGATGCAAGAAAGCGCGGCTAATCTGGAGGTCGATTTATCCACGTTGGGATTTGACGAACAGCCAGAGGCAAGCCTACCTGACAAGGGCAAATGAACTGTTTTGCTGACGTTTTCTAGTCGCCTACTGATCTTGAGGTGGACGAGGAAGAGTTCATCTGGGACCGTTGTGTTGGGGACCAGATGTTTGTGTTCCAAGCAGATAAGCTGGATGCCATATTTGACCTGATCATTACCAATATGACGCCGCAACGATCCCCATCGCAAAAGCCCATACCGGCGAACCTCATCTTTCTCATGGCGCGTTATGCACACTATCACATGACGGCCTCCCTTCTGGACGATGTTCTCACCCGAGCCATGGATCTCATCAACGACGTCATCGAACGCTGCCAGTGGGATATGACCATGTTGGCTTTCTGGATATCTAACGCGACTTTGCTCCTCCATTACCTGAAGAAGGATGTAGGACTTGTGCAGGCCACATCCAAGTATCAGCTTGAGCTTGCAGAGCTGATCAACGAGACCTTTATCCTCATCATCAGGGATGCTGAGAGGAGAATGAACAAGGTTCTGGATGTCGCAATGTTGGACCACGAAACCATACCTGGTTTAGACGACATTGCTTTCCAAGGAGAATGGAAGGTCTTCAAGTCCAAGCCTAAAACGAAGGACGAGCCCCCAGAGAAGCGATTTCGACCTCCCTCACCCAAGCGACGAGCACAAACGTCTCCGCGCAATATTACCTCACTGCTGTCTTCCACCCTGTTTGTGCTCGACTTATACGATGTTCACTCGGTCATCACATCACAGATCCTGTCTCAGCTGCTGTATTGGATTGGTGCCGAGTTATTCAACCGGGTCATGACCACAAAGAAATATCTTTCGAGGACCAAGGCAATGCAAATTCGCATGAATGTGTCTGTCATCGAAGATTGGGCGCGGACCAACAACCGACAACCCGAACACTACGAGCACGGCTCCACGATCTCGACTGGAGAGACCACGGTCGACGCTGCGCGACGACATCTGGCACCCATTATTCAACTGCTTCAGTGGCTTCAGTGCTTCAGTTCGCTGGGCGAAGACCATGAATCCCTAGTCGGGACTTTGGTCCAACTCCAACGCCTCACCCCGACACAGCTGATCCATGCGGTCAAGAATTATCGAGCTGAAGTCGGGGAAAAGAGCCTGCCTAAGGCACACATGAAATTCCTGACTCAATTGCAGAGAGGTGAACAGTCGTTGATCAAAAGACCACTAACGCCCATGGTTGAGGCCACCGAGTCTGGTACGACGACGCCAGCAGGCCGGAATGGAACCCCAGCGCCGACGCCAGTAAACAAAGAACCGAGCACGCCTCAGAAAGCGTCTGCGCCTTCGATATCCTCGCCAGTCGAGCAGGACACAGATCCACCAATGAATCGAAACGCGCTGACATTGGACCAGTCTCTCATGCTACCATTTTCACTCCCCACCTCGACAGATATGCTGATCAGTTATGGAGCGGGCATTGGCGGGACAAACAGGGAGCGAGCGAGGAAATATATCCCAACTGTTCCGGCAGAGGTCCTCAGCAAACTGAATCTGGATGGGGATGGTCGACGGCGGGCAGGGAGCATCGGAACCATTGGTACTACAGCCCAGGGCTGGCGAAACAGCGCATTTTGAACGAGATATTTCGCAGGTCTTCGGCATATTCAACAACCTTTCCAACGCGACGGCCACAACCAAGTGGTGATGCACAGATTCGCACTTATAGGTGGTGACATGAAAGAAAGAATCTGGCCTGTTGTTAGTTTTTGAGTTAAGAGTATTTATGTAAGAGTACTCGTACTCGCTGTGCTTGTCAACGATGTATCCACTGTATCAACTCAAGGCACATTACAAGCCCTCCTGACCCTGTAGGGCATCAATCACCCACATGATTGCAACGGCCAAAAAGGATTGCGGGTATTGTCTGACATGGCAAATTTGTAACAATGCCACACATGCCTACGTAGTTAGTTTCAAGCGCCAAAAAACTTGCGGCTCGTCGTCTTCTTGAGATTGATCGCTCGTCACTTTGCTCATGCTTCGCTCACCTTCTTGCTAAGTGCTTCCTCTTGAGCGCTCCCTAAAAGGAAAAAAAGGAAGAAAGAAAAAGACAAGAACAATTAACGCAGATTCCAACTCGAATCCGAGATTCAGGTTTATTGAGTACAAAGTACCTCGTACAGGCTCAGTCGAAGCTTACTCCTTAGGTCAAAGATGCCTACGGATGTCGCAAGCACAATCTACAAGTAGGCACTGACGGTTGCTTTTGCAGGGAGATGGGGTTCGCTTCTCGGGTACCTACCGAGCTACCTAGTGCCTACAAAGGTACCTATGGAGTACCTAGCACGCTTACCTAGGTAAGTAGTTGAGTGTGTTCAAAGGATCACAGGGGGGCAGGGTGGCACCCAGGTGGGGAAGCTCCCAACCAGGACCCGCTTGCTAATGCCTCCAACTCTCTTCATTTTACTCACACCGACCACTTTTCACATCTGGGTGCTCGCCCTGTGACGCTCCATCGCCCTCAGGAAGAGTGATGGGTGCCGACGTAGCTCGGACAAGTATTTCTCTGCCCTGCCATATAAATCCATCAGATCCTCGCGCTGACACTCAAACAGATTGGATTACCAGCCTGCTCCACTGAAACCAATGCTGCTGATGATTGCAATTTCGCCAAAATCCAGCGCCATCCCACCAATGTCTCGAACCCTAGCGGCTCCGACAGCCATCCTCTCCAGATCGAGGGAAAGAATCTAATCATGGCTTGTTCGCCAGATGCCGGCCATCCTTCCGTGGCGGCGATAAACAAGGACTAGGGCCTCTGTTTCTGAAACCTCCTCGTGGGCTGTCCGGCACCCGCACTCTGTCGAAAGCCCAGGACTGCCGTTTATCTGCGACAGTTCCCCTCCTCCCAAGCGAGCCCTATGATGGCCAACCTCGAGGGAAGATGCTTCTGATCGGTAACCGAAGCACGTCCTGCGATTTCGATACTCGACCCGTCGCTGTTCTCTAGATGTTACAAGAAGACTTGTTTCATCATGGCCGGCGCGCAGCACAGATGCGACCCCATCCTGACTTCACTGGCATTGCTGTACCAGTGACCTCGAGTTCAAATCTGCCCTCTCCAACGACTGACACCTCGACAACGTCTGCTTCAAGTGCCATCACCGGAACAGTGCCAGCCACAGCACCAGATATGGCGCCCCATGCTACCTTTCTTTACCCTACGGCGCCGCTGACCTTGAATAATATCGACGTGATTCAAGTCAGCTATCAGGCTGTCTGGAAGAGTGTAAATTTGTCTATATTTTGTGAGATGAGTCCCGGCTCAGACCAGTTCGCTATGGCCAATGTAAACCTGAGTAGGCTTATGCAATACCAAGCATGACTGGGAGCGAAAACTGACTCTATTTGCAGTTGAGCCTAGTGGCACGTATGCTATTGCGCCTGTTCAAGCCGGAATGCAACTACCCCGATTTCCAACCTACTGCAACTTCTTGCTTTGCGATTCCCAGAACAAGACAGATTCTACGACTGCGGCTGGCTTCACAATGGTCAGCACCCAAGGCATCGCGACAACTTATGCTTTGGCCGCTACACGTGCAGCAACAACCTCAGCATCAACAACCGGTGGTTCCAGTACAGCATCGGGAGCTGCCAATATGTCCTCACCCAGTGCGTCTGCGGCTGCCGAAACGGCCGTGTCTTCGACCTCTCACTCTGCTGGTTTGGGCAGTGGCGCTAAAGCGGGTATCGCTATCGGTGTGACTCTCGGCACTCTCGCCTTGATAGCCGTTATTTTCTTCTATTTGCGAATGAAAAGGCGAATGAACAAGTTGGAGAATATGGTTTCATTGAGGAGCACAGTGTCATCGTCAGTGGACCTCGCGCCGTCCGAGAAGGCTGCGGTTGGAAACCCTACGACAGCATCACCAACTCCAGTCCCCTTATCCTCCCTGTCAAACAATGATGGGACAGGGGTTGCAATTTTCAAGACGGGGGATAATCATCGCAATTCAGAAGATTGGAGGCGCTTTTTCGGCAATGGGAAACCCCAAAAGCCCGTAACATCATCTTGACATTTTTTCGACCATGATGGACCGCAGGAGCTTGAATGGACTAATTTACATGGTTTTAGCGACAAGACCGATACGAACCAGGCGTTTCTATTTTCATACTTACGAAATCAAAACTTTGTGGCCTTTGACGTTTTCCGGCCACCAAATACCACGCAGCCTTGTTCTACGTTTTCGGAATGGCACGTGACCTGCCGCAAGGCTTTGTGAACAACGACGGTGTCGTCTCTCAGCAGGATGAATACCATCACCGACAACCTCTTGATTGTGCTTCGATTTGATTCCGGCTACTTTGTTCTCTTCTGGATGGGACGCCGTGTTACATTCGCCGTCCCATTCATTGTGTGCCGTTTCCGGCTATCATGATCTTTTTGCTCTGTTCATTCATTGGCAAAACGCCCATTGTTCGCCATGCTGCACCCATTCATACATGTCCGCAAACGTGCCGAACGATCCTTGGCCTTCACTTGCACAGCTCTCTCCAGTCCCCTTTGTCTCAGCATGTCGGTTTTCATTCTTATTCTCAACCCTCCTCATCCCCCCTGTCCCCTGCTAGTGTCTGTCAATTCGTTTCTGCAAATTCCCAAGTTTACATTGCATCATGGTGCAGACAAGGTCTCAAGCCAGGTCCGGGGCTGTTGCGCCCACCGGACAAGCTAACACCAGTACTGGGCACCAGAACGTTGGAACGCAGAAGCAAGCAGGGAGCAAGGCATTAGCGAAAAATCAACCGCAAACGAAAGTCCCAGTCAAGAGTCAACCCAAAGCCAAGAATTCAGGGAAGATTGGGTCGAAACGCAAGGCTCCAGTAAGAGCTCAAGCTCAACCCCAAACACCAGCGAGTAGTCCACCAAAGTCGAAGACGCCGGAGAACAGTGAGAATAGAGCCCCAGCTGCTGCGAATGGCGTGGCCGGGCCGCGAGGGTCACCGTTGAACCCTCCTGCTGGAACCCCGAGAAATGGTCCGACTCCTAGCCCGACATCGGACGGACCCGAATTCAACAGTCCTCTAAGGGCGCCAACGGACGCCATCATCGCAGCCAGGTCAGAGGTGAAGTCGAATGTAGGGGGAGGGTTCAAAAATCCAGGCCGTCTTTGCTATCGGAATGCCACCATCGTCATGCTACTGCACAGCAACAGATTCATGTCCTGGATTGAACACCGGCACATTCCCAATCTGAAGGCCGCTGGGTTGAGGATCAAACCTTACAGCAAACCTCTCATCGACGCATTGCTTGATGTGCCAGCTGGCGACGGACAAACAGGCGACAAGACCACAGTAGCATTGCCCATCGACTACACCGATGTCCTGTGCGAACTGTTTGAATTGAGCAGAGCGTACTGGGATGAAAGACAAGCTCAACCAGAGACTCTCAACATTGCAATGGGCTTCTTCTGGGACTACGCAACCAGCCCGCGCCGCGACAAGGAAATGAAAACAGAAACATATGCCCTGGAGGATCGATTCACAACCAAAATGAGGGAAGCCGCAGAAGATCAGTGCGCCTCTGAGTTCCTGGGCTGGTTGATCACCCTCAGTATCGAGCAGCTTAAATACTTCACCGAGAAGAGGGTCAATCAGCGTGAGAGCAGGTAAAGTCCTCCCCGACAATCGAACTTGACGTATCTTGAATCAAGCTGACTGTAGAGAATAGACTGGACCAAGCGACCCTGGACAAGATTGTGGGCTTGGGCCATGTCACAATATCAGAGTTATTGCAAATCACCCAAACACAACGCGCCCGGTGTATGCAGTGCGGTTCCATCCGCAAAGTGAAGACGCGATTCTCACGCCTCGATGAGCAGACAATACTGTCCCTCCAGTTGCCCGCCACGGCCAACAGCCAAGTGCCAGTGACGTTGGAAGACTGCTTCACGAAAAACTCGGAGGATGACTTTGAGTGGCGTTGCAGCACCTGTAGCAACGGCACAACAGCATATAATCCAGACAATGGCAATGGAGCCAAGAAGAATATCTGGAGGAAGATCTACTCTGCTCCCGAGGTCTTGTTTCTGCAGCTGGCGCGCTTCAAGATTCGACTCGGGGAGGACGGTAGCGTGGAGCTAGACAGAGCAGGCAACATCAAGTGGGGGAAGGACGCCACCAAGGTGACGATCCCAGAGGAGCTGGACTTGACTCCATTCCTTGAGAGGCGAGGGGAGCCCGCCGACATCTCGGCCAAGTATCGGCTAGAAGGCATCGTCAGCCACTTTGGTGGCAAAGACGAGGGCCACTATATCGCCTACGTCCACCGCAGAGACAGCTGGTACGTGTTTGACGATTCCAGCGAGGTCCGAAAGATTTCTTTTCAAGCCGTTGTCGACCAGTTTGATGGTTTCACGCCCTATGTGTTGCTGTATGAAAGGATCCCTGACGCCAAACATGACGCCGCTGGCCGTGAACGCGAAACACTCTCCGTGAGCAGTACTGGTAATGCTAGTAGTGCTGCCGGTGGTGCTGGAGACAACGCCAGTGCGGGAGACACCAGCGTTGAGCCGGACGACGACGACAACAACAGCAACAACGCCACCAATGAAGATGGCGGCAGCCCGAACAGAGGTAGTCAAGCTCGTTCCAATGGCGCAAACGATGTGTCCAAGTCTACAACCGCCCAGCTCAAGCTTGCCACAGCAAACGGCCAACGTCCAGGTCCCGGACAGTTGTCCATCAACATCACGACGGGTTTCGGCCGCTACAAGATCTTGCTCCCAACGCTCGTGCTGGAAAACTATGTGCCTGACTCCCACGGCAAGAATGACGCCTACGTCAAAGTGCGTCTGGAGGACTCCTTGGGCCAACGGACAGAGGTTGAAGGGATTGGCTCGTTCGAGAGACCTGGCCCTGACAGCACTGGAGACGGCGAAGACGCCTCTTCTATCATGTTGAACCCAAATTTCGCGCCTGGACAGACGCCTGTTGCATCAGTGGAAATCATATCTGACGACCAACACCAACGCACCCCCCGGACACCATCCAACAGGTCTCTATTCAATGGATCTTCGAGCGGTGACACTGAGTTGGACCCTGCGCTTCTGCCAGACGTCCCTGACCACAGTCCCAGCCAACACCGCCCTCGCCGGACCCACGGTGCTGGATCGGGCGAACGCCAGAACCGCAGTGATGGATCCTCGGGGGATTCCAAACGGTCGCCGTCATCCCTGGACAACGGCGCGCCCTTCCTCTACCAGACGCCGACCGTACAAACCAAGCTGCGCCAGATCTTCACCCACATGGAGAATTACTACGAGGACACGATCAAGCGCCACCTGCACGCGGGCGTCGTCCCCATCTACCAGGCCGAGATCGTGGCCCTCAACGGCAAGATTGCAGAGTACGAGCGCCTGTTGGGGGAGAACGCCGACGACGCCGAGGAGCAGCTCTTCTACTGGAGGGCCCGCGAGGCCGGCTTGCTGGAGACGCACCAGAAGCACCTGCTCTGGATCGCCGACTTGCAGGAGCAGAACCGCGCCCTCCGCGCACAGTACGCGTGGCAACATTACAACCCGACGGGACCTGGGGCCGGCCTCGGCATACGTGGCGTTGAGACAGTGCAGCCGGTGGTTCCAGAAACAGTGAGGACAGGAGCAAGACAGAAGAGGCCCCTCGGTCAGACCAACGAGAGTCACCAGGAGTCGGTTTTCGACGATCGTGCGGTGTGGCCCAGGACCCCCAAGCGAGTCAAGTTCAGCAACAACAGTAGCGTGGCCGGCCAAGTGGGAGACGCGACACATTTGCAGGAAGATATCGACTACGACTCGCGTGAGCTAACCGAGTTGCACTACGACTCGGCTGGGGGCCGGCTCTATGACGACTCCGAGGACGGCGGGGACGTTGTCAAGGCCGAGAAGTTGCATGATGTGTTTAGGCCGGAGCCAGAGCCTGAGGAGGACGAAGAGGAGGATGATGATTACGAGGAGGACGAGGACGAAGATGACGATGACGAGGATGAAGATGACGAGGATGATTACGAGGAGGATGACGACGATGTCAAAGACACCCACCACCCCCTCAACCCCACGGCCGTGAAAGAAGAAAGCCCTCTCCCAGACTATGAGGACATGGTCCCCGAGGACGAACGGTACGACGCCTCGACCGAAACGTCGCCCACGCCGTGGCTGTACCAGAAAATCTCCAGCGGGCGCCGGGTGCCCATGGTGCACCTGTTGCGCCGGTTCCCATCGACGCCCACACGCGTGGTCGGGCCACGACAAGCCACGCCAGCAACGGCGGCACGGACGAGACCCAGTCCGCTCCAGATCCGACACAGTCCGGCCCAGGGCCGCGTGGACGGTCGCGTGCGCAGCAGTCCTCACCACTACCAGACGAGCAGACGTCGTGAGCGGAATACATGGTCGGTCGATTTCGACGAGGATGGCGTTCCGCGATATTACAGGGTGTGAGAACTGATGGAGTGAAGTGGCCGGCCGATGATGGTTGCCATGAATGGGATGGACGGGATAGAGATGCAATGGGGATAGACTGAATTGTCGCTGTTTATGTTGATGGACTTTTTGCACAAGCACATGGCCTCTGAATTTCGTTCGTGCTTTTCGACAACTCGTTACTCACCATGAGTTTGTCCTGCGTAGGTTGCCCGGTTGATTCGTATAGTAGTAGTGATTAGATACCTCAGTCTTTTTTGACATAACAACTTGCGCTTGATCATCTCCGAACCAGCTACCCTGGCCACCGTCTCCTCATTTCCGTTAAGAAATCCTTGAGGCGGTTTCTGTTCTCTTTTCCATAATCTCTCTTTCCCCGTCCGTGCCTCGCCCGACCGATGGGCAGAGACGCCTAGAGTCCCAGGATATAGACATGGCTGACGTCTGCAGTCTGCTTTGCCCGTGAACCCGGAACTGGTGATGAAGCAACGCCCAACAAATCAGGGTCGGACTGGGATGAAGAACGGCGGACGAACCAATCAATGGTCACGCCTCACAGAACAAAGAGAATTCAAGGCTGACTGGTTCCGGGACCATAGGGATAGTTCTGCAACCAGTAAGGCGTGGTCTGGAAAGACGCCCTTTTGAGTACACTCCTTCTGCAAACAGTTGCACGCAGAATGGCTCCCATGCCAAAGACGACAGGGAGTTTCTGGGGTCATGGATAATCCAGACCCATTGTAGATATTGCCAGGACGATCCGTTTTCAGCTGGCTGCCTGAATGGCCTACAACTGTTCGCACTGGTCCCGGATTGATCAGAGCGCTCAGACCTCCACTTCCAAGGACATTGGAGTACCAAGGTGAGTCATTGGGCCTGCGATAACAAGTTCAATTTGCTCTTCCATGGCTGGTCAGGTGAAGAGTTTCCTTTTCCCTTGTTGCCATGCGCTTACGGTCTCGCATAATTGGGCCTTAAGTCGGGGACGGTTCCTCTCCAAATATGCATAGCGTCGATATTTGTCACCCGGTGCCCACCAGCTTCTTCGGAATGTGTTTAGCATGAGAATAGACGCGCCGGTGAGTCCTGGCGAGTCCAGAGTAGAAGCTGATTACGGCAAAAGTATCCCTTTCCAGATCGACGCCCGATGTTACGCGGTTGCGGCTCAATGGTTTGACGGCGTGGACGGCTTCGACTGATCCTTGATGGGTTACCGCATGATCTGCTTGATGGAGACAAAGCTGGACAATCTTTGATTGGTTCTTCCCCGGCCTCGACGGTCATCTTCCACATGTGGTCAATGCATTAGCATACGACCCCGCAACGATAGGCTGATACCTTTTCGAATGCTTCCACACTAGGTGCTTGTGTGCTCGATCCGTTTGAAGGAGCTTGTCCATTTTGGGGGGGTCTATACGAACTTCCCGCCCGTGTAACAGGGACGTCACCCAAGACGCTGAAGAATATCGACTTACCAGTATCCTGCAAGATCACCCTCTAGTCGATACGAATAAGAGCAACAAGAGTCTCGGCGGTCGATCCTCCGCTGTGCCACGTTACCACTAGTTGTCCACTCGTGCCCGTAACTAAGCCTTGCCGTGTATGCCGGACGCCTGATTGACGTCGAGGGGCCAAAAGGTTTGGGCCGGACCTTGATAGAGACGCACGGTCCGCAATGGTCTGAGCCGCAGTTCAATGTAAACTTGTAGCTTCTTTGACTCCTTTCCCCGCTCAGCTTGGATGACGCTGAATATCAAACATCAGCTGTGCTATGGTAACTCTCAGCCTTTGACAAGTCGCTTCACCACACGATACATATCCTGTAAATGATGTTTGGACAAGCAACTTCACAACTGTCTAAATCTCAGGCGTTAGTGAAGAAAGAGACGGGTTCACACCAAAGGCATGGGTATGTGCGGAGCAACAAGGACCTCTGAGAGCCAATATTAATGTTTCAATCAAGCAGAGCAAAGACAAATGGCTCTTTGCCCACATCCAAGGAGAGCGGTCGAAGCGACATGGACAACAACAAATCAAGTCTTGCTTCTCTGGACGAAAAGCCTCGTGTCAAGCAGCTTCATCACAAGGTGCGCAGCGGCTGCATAACATGCAAACGAAGAAGAATAAAATGCGACGAGGAGAAACCAACTTGCCAAAGGTACCAACCTTGCTCTGTGGCCCTTCCCTACCATACGTACAGACTGTTTCTCACCTTGTGAATCAGGTGCATTCGCTCTGGAAAAGTCTGCCTGGGTTATGATCCTCCTAGGGCGTGGATCTTTGACGCGGTAAAGTCCAAGAAACGAAACGAGACTCAGTGTTCGGAGGAACCGCCTGAAATATTGGCCCTGGGAGACGAAGGTGGCGGGGAAAATAGCTCCCAACCAGCAGAATATTTCTCGACCTGGTGTGATCCTTACTTGACGACAGCCCTCAATGTCTCGTTTGGCGACACGGAAGAAGAGCGCCGCAGTTTGGACTTCTGGTTGAAGGAGACCGGGCCTACCTTGGGGAATTTCGGGCCCGATAATGACTTTTGGTGCGGCTTCATCCCCCGTTGGGCGTGGCAATCCCCTATCCTCCGACATCTAATGGTGGCTGCAGCCATGGTCGATGAGCAGCTGGGCTTGTACCGCAAAGCGATGACATCGAGAGTGACTCCGCGGGTTTTCTGGCACTATCACGCAGCGATCACGAGGATGGCCACAGCAAAGGCACCTGACAAGTTGTGCCTGACGGTTGCGTGCTTGGTTGCCTGGATCTGCGAGACCATGCAGCGGAACTATATGGCAGCAGCTGTCCATATCAAGGCAGCATCGCGGCTCTGGGGAGAGCTCAAAGCGTCATCAGCCAGGTTTGATCGGTCCACTCTAGACATGATGGCGCCAATCGAGCGAGCGGTTCGAGTATGCGAGTCGTACGCGAATGCTGTCTTAACCGAAGAAACTCCGTCAAGCGGTCCGTTGCTTCATGGAACAGGTCTTGTGGGCGGAAGAGCATGCGACGTCCCCGTTGTCCATGCGCTCACACAAGCACGAGGCCTGTTGTTGGACTCGATTGCTGAATTTTCGACAAAGGATTGGACGGAGTCTGACGCTCGGCAGCAACGCCTGTTTGTGAGAAACTGGCACCAGGCCATCCGTCGCTATTGCAGCCATGGTCCAGAGTCGCGTCTATACAAAATCACCGTCCAGATGTTGTTCAATGTCGGCATGGCATTTCTCCCAGAAACCGAAGCAGGCATATTCAGCCATTACGCCAATCCGGACGCATTGAAGCATATTCTGGACGTTTTCGAGCAGATACAGAAAGAGAGGCAGAAAGAGAAGCCTAGCCCAGACGATGAAAATGTCGAGGAGACTCTGGTTCTTGCTTTGGAGGTTATGCTGAACAATATATGCCATGACAAGTTGCATCAGCGTGCTCAAAGGTTGCGGAGGACATTGAGAAGGCCATGCAGATACACCAAGTGCCGCGCAGCCGATGTTGACAGTGACCTCAACGCTCAATCTGCTCACATAGCGCAAGTCTTCTCCCCATCTCAAGAGCAACGGAGAGAGGATCTGGGCAACAGGCGGACATAATGTTCTTGATCATGAAATGGCATTGAAATGTGACTCTGTCTTTGCTTTGCCAGATGCCATGAGCGCCGTGACCGCCTTGCGTGACGACTTTGTCGTATCGGTTCTGATCTTGACAATCCTGTTTCATTGCAAAGGGGCGACTGGGGCATGCCCAACAGCAAAACCCCGAATACCCGCGGTTGGAATGGTGAATAATGGTAGACATGACCCCAATATCTTGTACGAGGAGCCGCTTCACGGAAGAGTGGTATCTTCCGTCAGGGTTATTGCCGCTGTTGGTATAGCCGGGCCTTTGTTTCCTGGAAAAACGTCCGTTCCTCGACAATATAGAGAGCTCTATTTGAAACGTGGCCACTTTATCAAGGCTAGTTCCTAGAGACACAAGTGCCTCGCAGGCGATGGGTATGGCCTCTGGGGCGCGAGAGATGGACATTGTCCTCCGTCACAGCAATGATTGTCACCAGCACTTGGAGTCCTGCGCCATCTGAGATCCTTTAGGGGCTTGAATTACTAAGATGTGGCTGAATATCTTGATTCCATCATGTGGTCTCGGCCCCCTTGCCGCCGAATCTATCGGCAACGGCTCTCCCCTGATGCTCATGTTCCTTGCGATGGTCTAGGTCCTCGTCTGTACTTTGATAATCCTCTTTTTGTCGCCCATGACGATGATGGCGGCGATGGCGATGGTGCTCGTGGCGACGCCTGTGTCGATGTTCGCTTCTTCGTTCCTGGTGTCGAGCGCTGACTTCTGCTTTGGTATATCCTTCGTCCAAATTGAACTCTTCCAGACTCTCCAAATCATCTTTGTCATGGGCCGTTCTCCTCTTGCGCTTTCTATGGTGCCGTTCATTCCTTTTTGTCCCTCTGACTTCTGCGAGATCTCTCTCACGTTCCTTCATCCACTCCTGTCTTTGTCGTTCATTCTCTCTGAGGGCCTTGACACCCCGCTTCATGGCGGCGAGAGGATCATTTGCATTGAGCCGTGTGAGTTCTCTTTCCTGTTTCCGGGGATCCTCGTCACCCCATTTCTCTCGCTCTGGCTGGATGGACGTATACCATGTGTCTTTAGGTCCATCCCTCCCGTTTACAGCGTCTGAGAGGTAGACCGTGTATGGATCTTTTCTTTGTTCTTGATCTGCGTGAGATCGCTTCTCGGGCGCTGGAACTAGGGAGATATGGCCATTGACGTCAACAAGGGAAGTATGGTCTTGCTTGGGCTTGTTTGTGGACTTGGATGTATTTTCCAGGGCGAGTCGAATATCACGATCCGTGTCATCTTCCCCCGGTAGCTTGCGTTTCAAGGTCCTACTCTTGCCCTTGCCCTGTTGTTGTAGGATGGAGAGTCTATCGTCTGCTTCACGCCGCAAATCGTTCTTCTCTTGTTCGGCGGCCTGGTCACGGGCTTTGGCTTCATCGCGCTTGACCCTCTCGATGTTCGCAGGGGAATAGACATTCCAAGATTTTTTGTGGAGGAGATGGAGAGGCATTTTTCAAATCGAACCGTCCGTTGTAGTACCATCAAGTGGTTGAGGTGCGCCTACGACAAATTGTTGCGGGGACAAATAGCGGGACAAGGTCGAGGCACCTCAGCCTCGTCACTATCGCCACCAGGCTGTGCCCGGCAAAACGTCGGGGAGTGGAGGGACTGGATGTCATCCTCAAAGTCGCCGCCTCAGGCGCAGTGCAGTTTGGGGGGCTTGAAACAATCTGGGAGTTGCTGTGCCTATTTGTGACGACTTACAGTTGTTCTGTCGTTTTGTATCTGTTTCCACACCATATCCGTGGATCTGTCCTCTCTTTCCCGCTTTGGGTCTTGTCACAACCCCCTTCAAGATTTCGATCTTTCCCATCTTCACCCCTCGCTCCAGTCATGTCCTTCCTCAACAGAAACAATTTATTTGGTGGTTCAGGGCAACCTCCGCGCGATCAATACGGCCAGCAGCCGTCTCCTCAGCGAGGAGGGCGTCCTTCTTACCCCCCGCCTGGCGGCTATGACACACACATGAACGGTTACGACTCTCCTAGGCCAAGATATGACAGTCCTGGCCTGCCTGCGAGAAACATGCCTCCGCGCCCCATGGGCCACCAGGCGAGTCCCAGTCGTGGCGCCCCTGCCAGAGGTCGGAGTGGTGTTATGACACTACAACCTGCAAAATCTCCGGACAATTCCTATACCTTCCGCAACCTCGTGGCCGTATCCTCACAGGACGTTCCTCCTTCATACGATGGCACCGACGTATTCCTTCTTATCAACGGCATGTATGTCGTCTCATCTCGGCCTATTGATGCGTTTCCCAGGGGCAGCATTGGCCTTTCTGAACCCCAACGATCTTGGATGGGTGTAGCTTTGACAGACCTAGTGCAGGCTGAAGTCTATGATCCCTTCAGCCAAGGGGCCCAGGCATATATTGGTGCGATGGATATTGAAATTGGCTTCGCGAGCACGAGGAAAACCACAGATGCGCCGTACGATCAGGATGATCTGGCCAAAGAGATTACAAAGGTATGTTGAGAAGTACCTGGGCCGTGGTTCAATACTGATCTTAGTCGGTAGTTATTCAACAGCCAGATGTTCGCTCCCGGTCAGCGGTTCCTCATGGACCTCAAAAGCATCCCACTCAACCTCACAGTCAAGACAGTACAGCTGGCGGACCTAAGCGAAAAAGCTGCGCCTACAACGTCTGATCCTCTGGCACGAGGCATTTTGACCCCTCAAACCCAGATCAATTTCTTCAAAGATGGCAAGACTCCTATCAACCTCAAAGCGTCCTCTCGTCGGCCTGCTGCCAATTCCATCATCGCCCCCGACTTTAAATTTGAGGACATGGGCATTGGTGGGTTGGATGCGGAATTTGTGACTATTTTCCGGCGAGCATTTGCCTCCCGCGTCTTCCCTCCTGGGCTCGTGGAGAAGCTGGGTATTCAGCACGTGAAGGGCATCCTACTCTACGGCCCCCCGGGTACCGGAAAGACATTGATTGCGCGACAGATTGGCAAGATGCTCAATGCGAGAGAGCCAAAAGTTATCAATGGTCCTGAAGTATTGAACAAATACGTCGGCCAGTCTGAAGAAAACATCCGGAAACTCTTCGCCGATGCAGAGAAGGAATACAAAGAAAAGGGAGATGAATCCGGTCTTCACATCATCATTTTTGACGAGCTGGATGCTGTCTGTAAGCAGAGAGGTAGCGGTGCCGGTGGAGGCACCGGAGTGGGAGACAGTGTGGTCAACCAGCTCCTCTCTAAGCTCGATGGCGTGGATCAGTTGAACAACATCCTCCTTATCGGCATGACGAATCGGAAAGATATGATTGATGATGCTCTCTTACGGCCTGGACGTCTTGAGCTACATATGGAGATATCCCTGCCGGACGAACACGGTCGAGCGCAAATTTTGAAAATTCACACACAAAAAATGCGTGATAACCAGGTCCTCGACCCGGATGTGAACCTCGAGGAACTGGCTCGCAAGACCAAGAACTTTTCTGGCGCTGAGATTGGCGGTCTGGTCAAGTCCGCCACGTCGTTTGCATTTTCCCGCCATATCAAGGTGGGCACGATGGCGGGAATCACGGATGACGTGGCAGATATGAAGGTCAAGCGGGCCGATTTCGAAAGTGCTCTGGAGGAAGTGAAACCAGCGTTTGGCGTGTCAGAGGAAGAGCTCTCGTACTGCCTCCGTGGAGGCGTCATCCACTTTTCACAGTATATCAAGGATGTGCTTGAGGAAGGGAAGCTCTTTGTGGAACAGGTGCGCAACCCCGATTCCACGCCGCTCTTCTCAGTGTGCCTCCACGGGCCTCCTGGCTGCGGAAAGACGGCCTTAGCAGCCAAGATTGCGATCGACAGCGGATACCCGTTCATCAAGTTGGTCAGCAACAAGGATACGTTGGAAATGTCGGAATCCCAGAAGATCTCGTACCTGAGCAAGGTATTCATGGACGCATACAAATCACCCATGTCGTGCGTGGTGCTGGATGACATCGAGGAATACACCGAATGGACACCCATTGGCCCTCGATTTTCCAACCCCATATTGAAGACACTGGTTGCACTGTTACGCAAAGCGCCTCCACCAGGACGAAGCCTCCTCATCCTTGTGACGGCCACAGAACGCTCGGTCCTCCAACAACTAGATTTCTGGCGCCACTTCAACAGCGACGTACCCGTCGCCAACGTGCGGACGTACGACGAACTGGAATTTGTCATGAAGGAATCCAAAGCCTTCGAAGCTGGAGAGATCTCCAGGGCGGTCTCAGAGATTCGAGATATCACGCGCAGCGACGTTGTAGGAGTCGGCATCAAGCATGTGCTGCAAGCCATTGAGACAGCCAAGTTTGACACCGATCGGGTCACACGGTTTGCCGGGACTTTGAGCAGAGTCATTGCTGAGCGTGGGGAAGGGAGTAGTAGCATGTTTCATTGACCGAGAGAGAATAAGTAGATGATGTAAATGGTATGATATTTCGGGTGTCGATACTACGAAAGGTCTCTTAGCGAGCGCTGTGCCATTCCGGCGATGAATGTCATATCAAATGAGCTTGTCATCCGCAAACATATAGTGGCGAAGGGGGGTATTGTCCATGGCCATCTTTCGTGGTTGGGTCCTCGAGCAACTCCCACTTCCTAAGACAGTATATTTGGGATGGTCCTTTTGTATAGACAAGGCTCGAGCACGTCAGGCTTGTCCACCGGCATTTTCCCGCACTCAATCATAGTATGCCCCACAGATCCGACCCTCGCAATTATGAGGTTGAGGAATAATAATGGGTCTATCCCGGCGTGGGCCCCAAGCGGCTTTCGGTAGTTGCAATGCCCCAGTGTGTTTTCGATGCCGCCTCGAATGTCTTTTTGCAGGGAGTGTGAAAAAAAACTGCCATATAATGATAGCCCAACATAATCGACTTGGTCAACCAAGTGGCGCCGACTGTGAGTACTGATTAGCCAGATATACCGATTGTCGTGGCCGTCGCTGGCGCAGAGGTAGTGTATACAGATATATATATATACTCTGTACAAACCATGGCATCCTCTTCCAGCCATAAACAACCCACGCCTTTCCCTCATGGCGCCTTTCTGCCCAATGGTCAGTTCGACAACCAGCAACGAGATCCTCCTCTCCCTCCCGACCATCCCACCATCGGCTATAAGCTGAACCACTTCATGTTGCGGATCCGCGACCCGGCCAAATCCATCCCCTTTTACGTCGACATCATGGGGATGCGGACCGTCTTCACCATGAACGTCGGTCCCTTCACCATCTATTATCTCGGATACCCGCAGACCGACGAACACCGGGCAGACCTCATGAAATTCGGCGCCGACACCGCCGCCAAGCTGCAACATACCTTGGGATTGTTGGAGCTGTATCACGTCCATGGTTCGGAGAAACAGGATCCGGGTTACTACTCGACGGGCAACGAGCCGGGGCACCTTGGGTTTGGCCATCTGGGGTTCACCGTGCCTAGCGTTCCAGACGCCCTGAAACGAATGAGGGAGCACGGCGTCGAGATCTTGAAGGATCTAGGCGTCTGCACGAGAGAGAGCATCCCGATCAGTGACTGGGAGAACGAGCGCGGCATCGGCGTCGAAGTCAAGGGGACCGAAAGCGAGATCCACGACGAGTATAGAAAGGTCTTTGATAGGATTGCCTTTGTGAAGGATCCGGTGAGTGCGGGTTTCTCCCTCTTCCCTGTCCAACCTCAATATGTCTTGTTGCTGAACTGAGGACGTGGTCTCAGGATGGATATATCGTCGAGTTGGTGCCGCAGAACATGCGTCCTCTAGACCCCTAGGCGGGATTGAAAAACAGTCATCGTTGGAACCTCGACATTCCCGGGAAGGGTAAGTCGATTTCAGTGGTGGAAGGCCCTCGAGTGCCTCTTTTGGCAGTACGATATGCTTGGACTGAATGAAGAGAAAGCTAGTTGCAGGGGAGGAAGGTAGCCATGTCGTTTTATGCCATTGAGTATATTCGGTCTGGACATACCCAGATACCATGTGCTTTGCCACTGTCGAGTCCTCTTGGAAGGAAATGACAGGTAGGGAAGGCGGTAGAAGGATCTAGACAACAAGAGGGACTGAGGCAGCAAGGCCACGAGGCTGTAAAGCAAAGAACTGGCATTTATGCTCTGCCCTATAAATGCTTGGTCATTATACGGTGAAACACTGCTTACTAATGCGCCACGGATATCAAACATCGTGTCTCCTTCAACTTCCCTTTCACACTGCATCACTCTTTCTTGGACCTGGTTTGCTCTGCGGCCTAACTACCAAAATGGAGAAATGCCATCAACATGGACATGCCGTCTGTTTTGTTCCTCCTCCCTCCGCTTTCGACCGGTGCATTCAGCCTGAATTCGGTCTTCGAGGTTTAGCCGATGCTTTGATGTCACCATTGCCGGGAGCAATACTTGCATATTCCTGTCGGCATAAGCCCACCGAGCAGCATGCCATTTCCCTGTTCAAGTCATAGTTAGAGATGATCGACATCATGCAGCCAATGAAAGATACAGGTCCATGTGCGGAGAAGTTCAAATCAAGGTTAGCCATTGTTCCCGGGGTACGGGGAACGTCCTTGAGCTCGAAATGAAAGGCGCCGCATTGGAAAAAGCCGGCTATTCTACTGCTGTATGGTGAGTATATATGATCTGGAGAATGTCCGGTACGCCAGTGAAGGAGCAAGCAGCATCCTCAGCGAACTTAGCATGATGCGCTTGTTCCTTGTGCTCGTGGCAGCCAGCCTTGCCGCTGCTGAAACTGGTATCGACGCCTGGCTGCGCTATGCGCCCATTTCTTCTCCTAGGCCCAGTCAGAGTCTCCCTTCAAACATCATTTCTTTGAATGCCACAATAAATGGGCCGGTGCATATTGCAGCCGTTGAGCTACAGAAAGGTCTTGCAGGCATCCTGGATCACAACATCTCGGTCATCTACCCAACCAGTTACCAACTCAGCAACACAACGACATCTATCCTCGTCGGCACTGTGTCAGAGTATGCAAACACCTTAAGCGAACCTCCACAGATCCCAAAACTCGTGGATGATGGGTATTGGCTCAATACGACAGGGTCCACGGTCCAGATCCTCGGTCACAATGAACGCGGTGCCCTCTATGGTGCATTCCAGTATCTTTCGATGATCGCCCAAGGCAATATCTCCAACGTCGCATTTGCTTCCAATCCGGATGCCCCTCTACGGTGGGTGAATCAATGTAAGTTTCCTGCAGGCCCTGTACTGTTGGATTGCTGTAAGTCTTTTTACTAACCACAAGTAGGGGACAACTTGGATGGGTCAATTGAGAGAGGGTACGGTGGTCCTTCGATCTTCTTCACAAACGGCACGGTTGCCAGTGATCTGGATCGTGTCTCGGCCTACGGGCGTCTCCTGGCATCGATCGGCATCAACGGGATCATTGTTAACAATGTCAATGCCAATGCCTCTCTTCTCAGTTCCGAAAATGTGGAAGGACTCGGAAGAATTGCGGACGCTTTTCGGCCGTACGGCGTGCGTGTTGGTATTTCTCTAAACTTCGCCTCGCCAACAGCCAATCTGGTCTATGGCAATCTCAGCACATTCGACCCAATAGATCCTGATGTCATAGCATGGTGGACGAATGTTACGGACACTCTGTACGAGCGTGTTCCTGACATGGCAGGATATCTCGTCAAAGCCAACTCTGAAGGGCAGCCTGGACCCCTGACATACAATCGAACCCTGGCTGAAGGAGCAAACCTTTTTGCCAACGCTCTACAGCCACACGGTGGTATCCTCGTATTTCGCGCGTTCGTCTACGACAGCGTCCACTTGAACGAATCAATCTGGAACGAGGATCGCGCAAATGCTGCAGTCCAGTTTTTCACTGGCCTGGATGGCAAGTTTGCAGAAAATGTCGTTATTCAGATCAAATACGGACCGATTGATTTCCAAGTCCGCGAGCCTGCTTCGCCTCTTTTTGCTTACCTGCGGAACACGAGCACCTCAATCGAGCTAGAAGTCACGCAAGAGTATTTGGGACAACAATGTCACCTGGTATACCTGCCTCCCTTGTGGAAGACAGTCCTGGACTTCGATATGCGAGCTAACCATACCGAGTCCCTCGTCCGCGATATCGTCACTGGCAAGCGCTTCAACAGGCCTCTTGGTGGCGCCGCGGCCGTGGTCAATGTTGGAACTAATGACACTTGGCTGGGAAGTCATCTCTCAATGTCGAATTTGTATGGTTACGGTCGCCTAGCCTGGGATTTTTCCAGCGACCCAGAGGCTATCTTACAGGACTGGGTTCGCCTCACATTTGGATCGAATCCGGCTGTTGTGGCTGCAATCACTAATATGTCGATGGCGTCGTGGCCCGCGTACGAAAACTATACGGGTAATCTCGGCATTCAAACTCTGACTGATATTCTATATACGCATTTCGGACCTAATCCCCAATCTCAAGACAACAACCCCTGGGGCCAATGGACCCGAGCAGACCGCAAAACCATTGGAATGGACCGCACCGTGTCGAACGGGACAGGCTTTGCAGGACAATATCCTGTAGAAGTGGCAGCTATCTACGAGAACATCTCGACCACACCGGACGATCTCCTTCTCTGGTTCCACCACGTCAACTACACACAGCAGTTGCACTCTGGCGAGACTGTCATCCAGCACTTCTATAACGCCCATTATGCGGGCGCAGAAACTGCACAGACCTTTGTCACGCAGTGGCAAGGTCTCCAGGGCAAGATCGACCAGCAACGGTACAACGAGACTCTGTTCCGGTTGACGTACCAGGCAGGCCATTCGATTGTGTGGCGCGACGCAATCACCAACTTCTACCACAACCTGTCGGGCATTGATGACAGCCAAAATCGGGTTGGAAACCACTCGTGGCGTGTCGAGGCAGAGAGCATGACACTGCAGGGCTACGAGCCGTATACCGTGTCACCTTTTGAGGCAGCCTCGAATGTGACGGCCATCGTGACCTCTGCCAACACGACCACCGGCACAGCGACGACGATGCTTAATTTCCCCAACGGCACATACAGCCTCGCTGTGAACTATTACGATCTGATTGGCGGCAAGTCTCAATGGACGGTATCCCTGAACAACCACCAGATTGGGTCGTGGGTTGGCGATCTCGAGGACCGACTGGGCCACGCTCCCAGCGTATATCTCGATGTAAGTGTCGACGGTTTCGTCTTTGTGGAGCCATGCGTGCCCTATTCCGTCTTTTGTTGGACGGACAGAACAAAAAGCTGACACCATTTTTCTCCCAGGGCCACTCTGCCGCACGAATCACATTCCACAACGTCACCGTCGGACGGGGAGACGTCTTAAAGATCGTGGGCGTGGCAGACGGCATCGAGCCCGCCCCGCTGGATTACATCTCGGTGTTGCCCGCGGGAGTGGTTGACTGAGAAAAGTCCATAATCCACACTACATAGATAGACCACAGGTACTGCTTCTATTGCCCACGACTTTTTTCTCTAATTACGAAAAAAGGAAAACTCCCCCCTCTGACCCTCACGAGAGTTCGACAAGTGCTAGAGAATCTACACGCAGAACAAAACATACATACTTGATGTCCCTTTCGTATCATAGGTACATGCATACACAGCCACATAGATATCTACATAATCGAGATTAGAGACAGCGATATTATTTCTGGTGACAACAGATCCCACCAACTCATTTCATAGACCTCCCCGGTTTTCTACAGACCTTATTCGCTTCCCGGATCTCGAGTTTTCGAGCAAATTTCTTTTTGATTCAGGTGACAGACATATTCAACTCTCCCGTTTTTGGTCGCTTCAGGCTTTCTTCCGTCGATCGTAAAACTGTCAGAATATGCTTCAAAGTGATTAATTTATTGGACGAGGGACAGATGAAAACTGTGGGATCGCTCGCCAAGGGTCATTAGATTTATTTACTGATTTGTAAAGAGTCCTCAGTGCAGAGGAGGGTACGCTGCCGCGGCAGCTATGTCGATGTCGATGTCGATGTCGGTGCCGATACCGATTCCGCTTCAGGGATTCGTAAAGGCGACAGGAGGCGGGCGCCAACCGCAAACCGTGCATGCCACGGAGGCCACGACGACTATAAAGGCGAGCTTCAAGGTCGCAAGGAACCACGACCAGAGAACCCTCGGCGTGTGCGACAATTCAGCCACGGCGCACGACAAGGAAACACGAAAACTCCGCTGCAGCCCTCTCAGCCAGGCGACCGTCCGGAGGACGGGAGCGGTGAGTTTACTCACCACGCTGTTCCTGTACCGCTGCACCTTGGTATCGAGGTTCGGGATCGCGGGACAGTTCGGTGCCCCCGTGACCAAGCACGCCGTCGTATCCAGCTGCTGGGCTCCCTGGAGGCGACGAACGTTGCGGTCGACCTCGGTGAAAGCGGAGAATCCCAGGGCGGCTTTGGGTTCGCGGCGGTCCGCGCATTCCAAGTGACGCCGTCGACGTCGCAGAATGGCATTCACCTCCGGGTTCGCCACGAACAGCTCGTCCGTCCTGAAGGACAGCTTGGTGCTCGTGGGCACGGGGAGACGCTGGGCGTAGCGGGACTGGACCCAGCTGACGCGCGACTTGACGGTGAGTTTCGGCCCGACCAGCGCCGCGAAGTACGTGTCGGTGAGCTTCAGGGAGAGCAGGTCCGGGTAGGGAAGATGGTCGGCGATGATGTGGTGGATTTCTGGCGGCAGAGAAGCGAGACGCTTGTGGGTGTTGGGTGATGAGAGTTCTTGTTGTGAGGATTTCGGTGCGCGCTGTAGAAAAGTTGTCGATGCCATTAGCATGAAGAGCTGTCGCGCAGCGATTGCGAGATTTTGGAAATGTCGCTGGCTCTCGAGGGCCTTGACTTATGGCTGATTATCGAACAATGCAAGCTCGTGTGTTATGTGTAGATGCGTGGACAGGGGTGTGTTGTGGCAGTATATTCCAAGCTTAGCATAGAGCAGCTGAAGCAAAAGGACTGAAGAGCAAAAAGGCAACAGAAAACAATCACCTCCTTCAAGGGAGCACTACACAGTATATAGTCGCCTCCAAGAGCTCTGGTTAGATTGTGGGATTTATCATGTCTGCCTAGCGAGGCTGAATTGACGCCAGCCTGCCCGCGTCGGGTCGGGACAAGCTGGCATAATCGAGCAATGAGGCTGAGTCTTCTTAATCACATAGACTGTAGCAGTATTCCAGAATGAAAGATATGGTCAGTGGAGAAGAGCAGGAAATAAATATCGTCTACAAGAAAGAACAAGGCAAAGAGAGCTTCGGTTGTAGATGCGGCCGGACGAATCATGTTTTGTTTTGTCGCATCCCGGCTCGGCGGTCAACAACAGTACGAGCCTGATCAGAATGTCAAAGTTGCAATAATACTATACTAGGTAATGTCTACGTCCTGGAGAGACAAAGTATCATCTAATGGATGCAGCATACTCGGGTTACCAGATAGAAAGGCTTCTCGCGCAACTGACATAAAACCAACTACACCTTTCCTTTCCCACAGCCCTCAGCGCCATCCGCTTCATAGCCTCCTTGTACTTGTACAAGTTCATTCTAGATCAGGGCCTCCACCTGAAGGCGGGATGTTTCCAATCAAGGTCTTGCACCTGTTTCAATGACAGTCCATCCAACTCGGTATCAATATCCTTCGTCTCCCGCCGCTTATTATCCCCCCACATCCAAAACAGTAGGAGAATGGAAAGAATCAATATAGTTGACGAGGTAGCCAAGTTCAATCCATTGCCGATATGGTAGTTTGGCGCGTCAAAGGGGAGGAAAGACCAGGTCGATATCAAGCCCCCAACATTTCCGAACATGACATTCGTGCCAATGGCCGCTGAGCGAGCCGTATCTGACACGACATTGGCGGAGACTTGGGCATTGCAAAGTGCACCGTACGAAAAAGCTCCGGCTGCAATCAAAAAGGTTGCTCCGTAGCGGACGTGAGAATTGGTGCTGGCCAAGAACATGATGTATCCGCACATCATCAATGGCGCAGAGAGGATGAAGAAGATGTTGCGACGATCGTACCGCCATGAGAGCAGGGGGAATAGAAGGACAAAGAAAGCTCCCACGACATATGGCGGAACAGTGTGGAGTTGTTGCGACACAACCGAGTTCTTAGGATAGATCGTCTTGACAATAGTGGGGAGGAAGAAGGCCAAGCCTTGCACGGTGATGTTGTCCAGGAGGAAGATGAATGACGTGGCGAGGGTGACCGGGCTTATTATGCCACGGAGAATCTTGGGCACATCCAGTTTGTCGAGGACCTCTGTCGTACCAACGCGCTCAGACTTGACCCGAGCAATCGCAAGATCTTTCTCTTCTTGACTCAGCCATCTTGCAGTCTCGGGTCGGTCGGTCAGGGTGAAGAAGGAAATGAGTGAAAGACCGCAGGTGATGATCCCTTCGATAGCGAAGATCATCCGCCACTCATGAAGGCCTCCAAAATGGCTCAATTTGAGAATGGCAGAAGCCAAAAGGCCACCGAAAGCCCCAGCAAGGGGCGCCATAACAATATAGAGCGAAAGCCGGAATGCCAACTCGCTTCGACGGTACCCTGCAAAATCTGTGAGCTGGGACCAACGAACCATGGTTGCACCTGAAGCAAGTCGTTGCTACAAGAGAAAAACAATCTGTCAACGAAGAAAAAACTCACATCGAGACATATAATAAGCAATGCCTGGAAGCATACCCGCCTCGGCCACACCCAAGAGAAACCGTACACCACATGCCGCGCCTATATGGTGTACGAAGGCTGTGCAGATGGAAAATATTCCAAACGCAAGCGAGGTGGCGGGCAGGAACCAGCCGGGGCCAAAGTACTTGCACGCCATATTTGCTGGCAGCTCAAAGAGGATATAACTGATGTAGAAGGTGGAGAGAACAACATTATAGTCATTCCCCGTCAAATGAAGGTCTCTTTCGAGCCCAGCGAGTTTGGCGTTACCTGGAAGAAGGCCGTCAGTACCTCGTACGGCATTACACATTGGACCCTGTGCAACGAACCGATATTGGCACGATCAATGAAGCAAAAGAGGTAGAGCAGTGCAACCGTCGGAACGATATAGAGATCAATCTTCCAGCGCAGTCTGGCTTCAGCCTTGGGGTCGAAGGTCACAAGGGAGTGGCCATATCTAAGGTAGCAAGCGTCAGCAGCCGTTGGCCTATTCTCCATTCACAGCGAGAATCTGGTTGGCATACCTGTCGGTAGCAGCATGGCCTCTTTCCGCAGCCTCATGGAAATTCTCCGTGTGCATGGCGGCAGCCTTTTCGTTCATCGCCTCATCTTGAAGCGATTGCCGGACAGCATGATCCACCTGACGTTCCTCTGCGCTGTGATCTTTAGAAGCCATGTTGGATGAATCTGGATAAATGATCAAAGTGTGGCGATAACGAAAGATGTCGAGACAAAAGCATTATCTGGAGAGGAGGGGGCGACTGGGTCTAAGTAGTCTTGGGTCGCCATGCCATCGCCGAGGGCAGCCGTGGGTTGCTGATCGATTATTGGCAAGGTCCATCATCCGCTTCCATCGTCTATCGAATGGTCAGTGACGAATAAACAATCCGGGGCTTGCAGAGCGAGGGTCACAACCGTGAGTCTTGGCCTGGCCATCCGGAAAACGCACCTGGCACCCTTGTCAGCAAAGGACAAGGCTGGTCGAAGAAGCGATGGGGGTCTAGAATTGCGGGTGCAGCGGGTCCTGGAGACGAAATGACGGGGAGAGGAAGATGACGGGTCCAAGATGGCACGATGGCACGCTGGCACGAGGAGCAAAAGGATGGGTGTTGCGGCTTTTGCGGGGGGACCAATGATGACTTGCGGTGAGTGAAAGGACTTGCAAACCAACCCTTCCCTGCGCTCCTCTCACTCAACTCTGTACGAGGTTTTTGTCGCTACTCACCAGTTTCGCTGTGGCGGAAATAGTGCCATGCTTGGCTCTTTCGATCAAGCTTGATTGACAGACTCGTGTCTTTGTCTCTGTTACCAGTCTTACTGTGTTTGCCAAACACTCTCCATACTCGTAGACCAGACAAAAGACAGACAAAAGGCACAACTCATTGATATTCACGAGCACTTTCCTGCCCCCTGCGAGTCCAAGTTCGAGTTCGAGTTCGAGTTCGAGTCCTCCGTTCAGGAACCAAATGCTTCCGGGTGCCCGCCCCTGGTCAAAAGTCCTCCTGAGTGCCATCCGTTCCGCCCATTAGCACTTGTTCACTTCATCGCCCAGAAGACCTTGTGCATATCTCTAGCGTGCCCAGACACCGCCATCAGCCCCCATCCTCCGGGACTTCGACTCGGGAAGTAATGGTATGCGGGGACGAACTGGCTTGGCTCCAGTAGATGAACACCGCCCGCATTCCGTCTTGGTTGATCTCATCCCGAGAAATGTTATCCTTTCTTGTATCGACTCGGTCCGGTTGGATCACGGCGCAATAGCCAAGTTGGGCCTGCTTTAGGTCGATGGAAAGAAGGAACACGAGGATCTCACCAAGAGGAGGGACAAAGCGTGGCTTAAGTGCTTCATCCGAACTCCACCAGCGAAACCGTCCCCAAGGAACTACACGCAGACTTGCAACCCAAGGGCAGTAGGCCGGCTTCTTGCAACGTTCTCGGAAGCCTGATGCGGCATATGAGGCTCAACATGTCAGGATCCGACAGAGACAAATGGGACAGAGATTATGACAGAATCTCTTGTTTCCCTCTTCGCCCGCCTGATATACTCTTTCACTCATCTTCGATCCTGTACGAGGTGCTTGATGTCCTTTCACCTGGCTGAGTCATCCTTCATGTCTTTGGTCATACGTGCATTATTCCGCATTGACTCCAAGTGCCATCATTAGGTCCTTCAAGTTTTCCTCCAATCAGACCCGGAACTCCTCGCTGAGCAACAACATTCAATCCCTAAACACCCTCAACCAATCCCAGACCCATTCCTCGTTGTTGTGCCCGTCTACCGTCTATGACCAGAAAAACCGTCCTATCCCATTTCAATTTCATAAGGGATAGTCGTCCTTGAACACCAAAGAAAAGGAAATCAGGGCCGATCGAAGAACAGACGTGAAAACCTGGGGAGTGCTCAGCAATGAAAGCCAAGACAATCTCCTAGCCAGCTTATTGTCAAGAAGACACGGAGCTGCGCAGGCATTCGGAGTGGAGATATGGTCGCATGCAGGCTCGTTATATTTCCCAGAATTTCCGCTGACAGAATCGTGTTGCCAGGTCATTAGATGATGGCCAACTCTGGAATTCCAGGACGCGGTACGTGGACCGAACTGAAAAGGGGTTTTTGATGTCTTTGCTAGGTGTTATGGCCACATTCTGCGATTATTCTGATGGTTGTGGTACCGATGGTGAGCATGCTGTGGTTTGGGGTTGAGTTCGGGTTCGCTTTGTGGCGGCTGTTCTTTGTCTTTTTGGTCTTCTCCCTGAGGATCGTCCTTGTTCACCTCCTCATCTGGCTCCATCGCTCCCTTCTCCTGCCCTGCTGTATCCTCGTCCGGGTTCTCGTTTCCATCTGTTTTCTTTTCATCTTCTTCCTCGCCTTCTTTTCCCTCTTCTCGACTAGCATCGTCTTTCGTATCTTCATTTTGTTGACCATCACCGTCCAAGCCCTCCACGGACAGACCTTCGACGTCGGAAAACTCGCCCAACATCTCGAAGCGGAAGGGTTCTGGGCCACCGGCACCGTCAACATCAGGAGGATGTTCGAGATAGACATGTCCTGGTTCAAACCCGTGGTTGAAGATTTCTTCGTCCTTTTGCTTAGCGCTGTCGGCTTCTTGTTTGAGCTTGAGCATTAGCTCCTTGGTCACATCCATGACTTCTCCTCCCTCTTTCGGGTGCGTAATCTCTTGTGCTGCTGCGGCGTAGTTGAGAGCTGCCTCTACAAGACAACCACGGACGTCGTCCCCGACCCAGGAAGACAATATGCTCATCAGATCGGAATCAGCGCCCTTGAGAAGGCCGTCCTTTTTCAGGAGTGTCTTGAACTGAGGTAGGTTCCGGACAAACGCCAACAACCCCTGAACACGAGCGACTTGAACAGTCTCGTCGTTGACGCTGAACGTCACACTCATCACGTCGTGGCCATCGCTCGTATCCCATTCGGCGACGCTGTTGGGAATAAGAATGCGGCCTTTGTCACAGCGGTCATCCTCGGGGCCAAGGTCAAGGAGGGAGGTGCCAAAGTCGAGCGACTCAGAAGCAAAGGCGAGGTGGAACTGAGTGCCAATGTTGATCATGACCACAAACTCTGGACGATAGAAACTACCGTCACAATGTTTCTCAATGTTAGTTCGGGGGAAAGCTGCGTAAACTCTTACTCGGGGGTCGATCTGCATGCTTGACGGGAGGGGAACTGGGACGAAGTTGGTTCCGCCACGTAGACTCCCGCCGTCCTCATTGTGTTTGGTCATGAAGTTGTCAGGCACCTCTTGCTCGTACTCAAACTCACAGTCACCACACCGGAGATGGCACTTCAAGATTCGTAGAGGCTTGAAGCTGTAGACAAAATGGATGTAATCGCTGGGATGACGTACAGTTGCAACCACTTTCGAGGGGCTATTACCAACTGCTCTGTGCTGTTGCTCGTTCGGAATGAAGAATGGTGCCCAGTTCTTTTCGGTATGTTGTCGGTCGGCGTCCTTGATCGTGAGAACAGTCGAGTAGTTAGAGAACGGTCGGAAAATATACATCGCTCTCTTCCACTCGGTTCGTCTTGCGATCATGTTGAAAATGACCACTGGCTCCGCACCCTCCACACTGTCCTCCAGGATGATCCGGGGGTCTTCGGGTCCGTACAAGCTTCCGTCTTCCTCCCACTGCGTCGGGACGTCAAAGACCAGGGGGAACGTGAATTGCTGTCCACCCCAAGTAATGGTATGGTTGTCCAAATGTTCCCAGTCTTGATTATATAGTTGACCTCGCAAGAAGCTCATCTTAGGTACCGAGCGTGTTTTTGAAGGGCAGAAGATGACTCGAGTGACGGACAGAAAGACCTTCTGCTCTGGCAGCCAAACACTGGACCCAGAAAGGCGCGCCCATGTCTTGTCTATGATCTCATTCGCTTCCAGCATGGGGTCGTTCATCATCTCATCCGGATAGTCGACCATCGGGTGCGAGTCAAGGGACAGGGCTATTTGCTTGATGTCATCGTCGAGGAAGAAGCTCTTCTGCACCCCGACTGTTGAGTTGTATTTCAGAGTATCGCACGATCTCTTCCCAGGCAGTCCAGTATTCACGAACCCCGGTATCGGTAACGGCTCGAAGGGTCCCCATTGCAGGTAGTAATCAGACCTCGATCGGTCGACCTAGGACTTGTTAGCGAACAGCGCAGAGAACACACGGCTTCGACGCCGCTCACTTTTTTGTGATGGGCGATTGCCGAGTTCTCAGACACAAAGGTGTTTTGGAAAAACAGAACAATCAGAATAGTCACTACGGCGAAGATGCTGAGCCGTTGTATCCTTGCGGGAGCAGAGAATCTCTCCAGCGCCGGACGTATCCCCATATTGCCTATCTTCCTCCTCGTGGGCAAATGTCGCGAGGAGGGGAGGAAGACAAGAAAGAGAAAGACCGTTTGCTTCGATGAGTGGGGGTCGAAGCTTTTACTCCACGAGCAAGTCCCAGAACGTTATATCGATATGGGTTTCATCTAGTCGATTCGCTAGTGAAGGGGACCGATGAGATTAGTGTCTATGGTTGGTGCGGCGTCCACAGACAAAAGATTCCAGTCTTGCCCGACCAAGAACATGGTGGGAGGATCCGAGTTTAAGGCGGGACGAGAGTCGGGGATCGAGCAAGGTATCAATGGAGACCTCAGTTCACATAGGGGGGATTGACCAGGGGTGTTGATAGACCAGAACAGATTCATGCCTACGTCTCTCTTCCCGGTACATCAGAGAGAAGGAGGCCATGGCAACATAAAAAGGGTACTTGACATCAGTCAGAGCCAAAGCCTCGATCGTCTGCGGAGATTGCGTTTTGCATGTACGAGTAAGTCGCACGGATGGAGGGACACGTTTGGGCACTGGTGCACGTTGAAAAACCGCCCAAAAGCATGTTCAGAGTTCAGGGGATGAGTGAGATAGGCTGCTGTGGCGCGCCAAAATTGGATCTAGCCTCTGCCTCTGTCGACCACTCTCGTCCTTATCTTCCAGTCATTGGTGGACAGGGGGCTTTTTTTCCCCGATTGACCAACTTTTCCTTTCCAGGTGTGCTGAGACAACGAGCAGTCTCCCGTGCCCAGCCAAGCGAAATGTGAGCGAACAGATGGTGAGGATGCAGAAGAGGATTTGGATGGCCTGCTGTTCACAGATTGACGTCTCTTGCTGAGCCCTCAATTTATCACATGTCTTGCGTCTGTCTGACAGATTAGGGGTCTCAATCGAGTAAATCGGGGGCCGATCCAAGCAGCCACGCAACTCGGCAGGGATCAGAGCAGAGACGTGGTGTCTGCAAAAACCCCTGAGAGGGGACATCCTGGGCGGACCGTTGGGCGGGACGTTTTCTGCTACAATACCATCCAACGAGGAACACTGGGGACTCGGCTTTCTTGGAGCACCGCGTTCGGTCGTTAGCAACAACGCCTAGAACAAAACGCTCGGCAGTGCGCGTCGCGTGTTGCGCGCGTTCCTGTCGGGTACCTGCGTTAGTGTGGCGACTGAGGGGCAGTGAGGCTTGAGCTGACTCTGGGCTCTGTTGTCCACAAGGAGAATTGACACACCTGTTTGCTTGGTGACCCTCACACATTGGGACACGGCGGGGTTGCACAGTCTGATGAGTTGCTGTATTATATCAATTATGAAATGAGTTGGTTTCGTGGGCCAATATCGAGCGGACGAGGATTTGCATAGTTGAGAAAGTGACTGGGAGACCGAGGGGTCTCTGTCTGCTAAAGCTGCGTTTCTGACCACCCCCAGACTTCTTTCTCTTCATCACAACAACCCGACAAAATGCCTGTGAGATTCAATGGATTCCTGGATTGTATGAACTAACGACTTCCTGGCAGCCAGCCGTCAACGTCTATCATGAAACACGACTAACTCCTCGCACGCACCATTCCCACGTCTTCTACAGCGCCTTGCCTGTTGCTTCTGTACTGCAGTGAACCTAACACTCGCACCAGTGCCCCTTCTCCGATACCAATTTCTTCTCAGAAGATAAGACGCCAGCAAGTATACACTTCTCGTCTTACAGACCGAGCCATGTCAGAGCGACATTCTTAGTGTCATAGTGCTGTACCGTCTCCGAACCTCATTTATACCTTCTCCTGCTGCACTACCTCGACCTGCGCAGCACTTCCGCCAACGGCTGCCTTCTCTTCCAACACTCTCTCTCGCTCCAACTGATCACTGAAATTAGCTTCCCGTTGTCCATACCGTCCGATCTTGTACCAGGGAAGGCGGAACAATGCATCCATGCCTTCAAGACTGCGGCCGCTCGTCTCCGGGATGAAGAACCATGCCCACACCCCGCCCAGGATCGTGATCGCGGTGAAGAACCAGAATGTTCCCTTGGGGCTAAGATCAAGGAGCATATTTGGCACAGCGCGCGAGTTGCCGTATTGGTTGACTGTTTGTAGACCGTATTAGCATCCTGACCCTAACCCTTAGGAGCAACCGGGACTCACCAAAATGGAAGCACATTACGAGTGAGCTGCTGACAGCGCGGATCCTGAGAGGATAGATCTCAGCATTCAAGAGGTACTGGATGCTATTCCAACCTAGAGCCCAACCGACACCTGAAATGTATATCATGACGATACCACCAGTTGAAGCATGCTTTTGTGAAGCTGTGAAGACAGTGTCGTCATCGATATTGGGCACAGCTGTCAAAAAGGCTGCAATGTAGCACATCGAAATGGCTTGTAGGGCAATGCCGATGGACAAAGATCTCTTTCGTCCAATAACGTCGACCAAGAACAAGGCACAGAAAATGGAGGCAACGAACTTCACAACCCCGCTGCAGATCAAAACGCAGTCAGTGACTGGTGTAGGGTGTCACCTGGGGGGAGGATAGAACTCACAAGATGGCTGTGGCGTACAGCTATTATCCAGTCAGTCCTGTGCTGCATAAAAGTGTGATTGCATCAGACTTACCTTTTCATTGTCCCCTTTGGTGCCGAGGAGCGCAAACATCTGTAAATCATAAATCAGCACAACTCAATATAGTGGACTTCCAACTGCCACTGGTTTCTCCAGAGAAAGACAGCCATCGTAAATGGGCAACATACGTCAGGAGCATATCTAAACAGCGACTCAATGTCAGTAACAGCGTTAAGAGGCAAATTAGTCTGAAACAAATGTTCAAAGAGACAAGAGGTAGTTCCAATACGTACATGGTGATACTTTGAGCACCGGACCATTGACCCAGCAACTGAGTTCCAAGTCCCAGGTAGATGCGATAGAAGTTGTTAGGCATGCAGAACATCTCTCGGAGAATGCCTACAAAGCCCTGGCCCATGGTCGCTTCCTGCTCTTCATTCAGTTGATGCTTGATACCGTTGATCTCTGCCGTGACGTATTCGTCGTCGGGGGCGAGGCCTCGAATCTTGGCTAGGTTGGCTATTGCGTGGTCTACCTTGCCCTTCTTGATCAGGAATCTAGGGGACTCATTGTTGAACCACGACAGAACGAAGATGAGACCGGCAAAGATGAGGTGGAGGGATGTCGGCACCATCCAGGAGGCTTCCTTATTTTGGTTCATGTGGAGACTGCTTCCCCAAGTCGAGAAGTATGCCAGCTGTAGAAGGTCAGTTTGCTGAGTTGACGGGAGGGAGTATCGTCCTCACCATGATTCCAATGTACACCGAGCCTGAGAAGACGCAAGTGCAAAGTCCTCGGACGGCCCGGGGTGAGATTTCGGAAAGGTAAACAGGAGCGATGACGGTAGTTTGGCCAATTCCTAATCCTGCAATAAAGCGACCAGCATACACCTGGCCCAATCGTCCGTTATTGGTCATGAAGATGACAATTCCAAGAATCCAAAGGAGACATCTAGATGTAGTCAGCGCAAAGCTTCTGAGCACTATAAGAACGAGACAGCTCACAGTTGTCGAGTGGCCCAGAGACGACCGATACGGTCGGCGAGAACAAAGGCTAGTAGGGCGCCACCGACGCTACCTATCTGAACCATTGCGGAGACATTGCCCTTGACATTTGCATAGTCATCCTTATCAAGTTTGTCGAAACCTAAAAGATGCTGGAAATCATCCGTGTTAAACGTGCCTGGTCGGACACGGTCAGTAAAGATCGGGCTGGCGGTGACGTTCCCGTTGTGTCTCTTACCGCTGATCAACCCTTCATCGCTATACATTGCTGTCAGCTGGAGCATTCCTGGATAATGGGATGATACAGGTGGCCACTCACATTCCTCTAGCAGCACCCATAATGCCAAAAGAGACAACCGCAAACCAAAGTCTCCAGTTTAGAACTTCCTTGGGTTCATCCGACAGGGAACTACCAAGGCGGAAGATGTTCAGAGGTTTACCTCCTCCTCCACCCATGATTGCGATTTGGGGGTAGATTTCTTTTTAATGTTTTGAGAAGGACAAGAGATTATGGTAAACGTATCCGCAGGGTCACACTGGCCTGAGCAATCCGTGCAAGGACGAAGGGCGAGTTCGTCCATCTTAAATATACCAAGACCTCTACCAAGAAACTGGCCTCCTCGCCCGACAGCTTGGGTGGTGGCTTGGAATTGCTTCAGAAAACCTTGCTGGCACTCGAAACCTTCTTCGCAGCGCCATTGACGATGCCTTTTCCCATGCCAGATCTGGCAAATCCACGGAGAAAATCGAGCGGGCGCCAAGGAGTTGGATTCTCGTTGTGCAGCTCAAGACCGTCAACTTGCGGGGGTCGGGTGCAACATGATGGAACATGTTCCTCTGAAGGAAGTCCCCCAAAGGGATGGTACAGGAGATGAGCGGCGGCATCAGCCTATCAGCAGAAGCGAGGTCAGCTTTGATGTAACAGCATTTCCATTGACAGAGGGAGCATCAAGGGCGGAATGCGAGCTGAGATGTCGATCATTCAAGGTGCCAAGATTCCACGTCGTCATGCGAGCACAAGAACAGCACCAATAGTGATATGGTTGAGGCGGAAGGTAGGAGTGGCTAAGAGAGGAGCAAACCGATCGAGGAAGGCTTCCGGTCGGAGCGAAAGAACATCCCCTTGACGTTCTGCGTTACAAGCCCAACCCGGGGTGACACGGAGCAGGGAGACAGGGAGTTGAGCAGGGTGTCGAGATAGGTGTGGATGCCCTGGTGTGTCTAGCAATTCCACTCCGCAGAAGTCGAATGCCGCCCCGCACCCATTGATTTGTCGTCTCAAAAGCCGACGGCACCAGACGGCGCCACTGAACTTCTCTTAGCACTTCCCCCAGATCCGCCCCATCATCGCACCCTCCGCCTTTTCTTTCAACGCCGACCTCGTTTTCGTTATTGTGTCTGGCGCCGTTTTCATCCGACTCTGGGAGCGGAACCCAACGACAACGATGGTCGAGGATCATCGAAGAAATTTTCAGACTTTCACTATGTCGGACCTGAGGCCGTCTGACACCGTGCCGAGAATTTCTCCTTCCTGTAGGGATATTCCTGAACAAAGCTATCCGTGTCGCAAGGCGTGCGCGCGGTCATGAAGAACTGCATGAGATGAAAGAGGGAGCAGCGAATGAGACGAGAATAGAATAAACGTCACAATCCACAGGAAAGGGGTCGATTACCGGGTGACCGAGTATCTTTCAACTTCAGAAGAGATCTTCATGTTTATCCGGGATTGTATTTGATCCCCAGCAGCTACTCAAAGCTTGCTCTTTCCTCCCACAACCTTCATCAGCGCCCGACCGTTGCTCAGAACAACCTTACCATTGACCTCAGTGAGGAATCGGACCTCTTCCCAGCCGTCCTTGATGTCGCCAGTTCTCCAGATCTTTGTCACAAGCTTCTGACCGGGTTTTACAGGCGCGGCGAAGCGAGCTCCAAATTCCTTAATGTTGGCTGGATCACTTCCACCAAGGTTTTTGAGGAGGGCATGTGCCGCAAAGTTCCAGGTCGACAAACCATGCATGATCGCGCCTCCGAAACCAATCTGCTTACCGGGTTCAGGTGTCGCATGGAGTGGGTTATAGTCGCCGTTGAGTCTGCAGTCGCTTAGTGTCAGAGACGCTGGTATTGGAAACCAGGTTGGAGCTGCTTACCTGTACAGATGTGCGCTCTCCGGAGTCAGCTGCTTCTCGCTGACTACATCGGGACTGTTTTCCCGGCCCTTGGGCGGCGGATAGTTGACGGACGCAGGGCCCTTGGGCCCACCCCAACCGCCCTGGCCGACAAAGAAGCCAGAGCTGATCACCCGACTGTACACCTCACCGCTCTCCTTGTCCACGATGGTCTGCTCAGTCTCGACCACCGTGCCAGGTTTACCCTTGTCGTAGACTCCAATAACTTTGGACCGCAGCTCGAATTTTCGGCCCGCGGATGTCGGTGGCAGAGGCTTGAGGAATTCGATGTGGCGCTGGCCATCGACGGCACGTCTTGGGTCCATCTTGGGAATGCCCGGGATAGGATTGCTGGCTTGAACAGCATAGAAGTCGATGACTTCTTGTGTGGTCTTCTTGAAGGCTAACGCATCTGTGAGTTCGGAGCTGTGGTGGACAAGCCAGGACGAGGACAGGACTCACGCAGGATGATCGGGTATGTGGGAAACACGGCGAAATTGGGATGGAGTTCCTACAGAGTTGTCAGTGAGAGGTGTCCAGTGTACTCGAGGGGCCTCGCTATCAGGCACTCACGTAGATGAAGTGCAACTCATCCACCGTGCAGCCAATGCTCACGGCGAAGAGCAGGACATCTCTCTTCAACCACGACACCTCGGTCGGAGGATATTCGAAGCCAACACCAGGACCTGACATTCTGATTCGAGCGCTGAGGTATTCTTTGGAGAGGAAGAAAAGTATCCGAGCTTTAAATGCACCTTGGTCAGCTCCAAAATCAAACAGAGGACTTGGGAGAGGAAAGGATTACATTGGACAAAGTCAGCTTCAAGTTTGGGGGGGTTTCGAGGTGCGCGGACTGGGATGTGGGGAGCCGCGTGCCGAGGTTAGATGTTATGCCTCGATCACAACGTTAGCCGGCAAAAGGCCACCATCACGAAGAGTAATCAATCAATCACTTCTATCGAAACAAGGACACTTCATCGAATTCAGCGTGCAATGTCAGATGTAAGATCTCAGCTCGAGGTAGCTACGACATCTATCGTCGTGTGCCTTTATTATTGAATATTTTTCGTTTATCAAAATCAGCGTCAACTCGTGGGGTATCTTAGACAAATAACGAGGAGCTTGGGTTTGTTTGTTCCGGGGGGCCTCCATCTCGGTCACCTTTTTCGTCGTAAACGAGGTATTCATCCATGTGTCTGTTCTCATCGCCCTTTCACAGATCAATGAATGCTACGGGATCTCCAAGGGTTTATCCAGGACGGATGTAGACCTCATGATCACGCCGAATAACCATGCAAAGGATGGATGTCGTTCCCATTGTTGTCATGGGATCAGCACCTGCGAATGATCAGTAATTCGCGGCTACGTCGGGGGACAGGGAGGCCTTACATTCGGTATTCGCAGGTTCCGCGCGCGGATCGTCTGGGGTCCGAGGTCTCGAGTTCATAGTCGATCTTGATGTCGAGATCTCGTCGGTTCTTGCTATTGGGCTTGTTGGAGAGGAAACCCTTTACCGTTTCTCCTTCCTCCACAGTCAGAACCTGTCGCAGATAAAAGACAGTCTGTTTCCAGTGCGTATATTTGGTGTGAGGCCCCGTGGAGAATTTGATGGGCTTGTGGCACGCCGTGAAGTCGATATCGAACCACGCGATAAGAGCATGGATGAAGTCGTTTCTTTGACACCGAAGCTGGAAGGGCTCTGAAAATGCCAGCTCGGCCGGTTTGACCGTATTGAGGTCAATAGTGAAGACAGGGCACGGGTCCGTGACGAGTGCCTTGAACTCCACGGTGTCGACTAGAGGTTCACTCAGAGCGCTCTCTTTCATAGGGGAGAAATCAAATCCGTAGACATTATCCCAGACTGGAAACGGAAAGTCAGCCTGCGCCCTAACCACCTTGTTGACCGCACTTACATCCGATCTTGTCCTCCTTGTACTCTCCATCCTCAATGCCCGCCATGAAGATCGTGGCCTTGTCTGGGAAGATTTTGCCGCCCGGCCTCAAATACTTGTCGCGAGCGTAAAGGACCGTGTCAAGCATGCTCTCGTATAGCAGGAAGTAGCCCATCCATTCGGATATTATGATGTCGACTTTGCCATTGTTCAGATGTTGTGCAGGTAGCTCCACCTCTTCCATTTTGCCTTGGAGTAAAGTAATCTTCTTTGAGAGCCCGTTGGTCTCGACGATGAGTTTGGCCTTGTTGATGATGCTGGACATGTCGACACCAATGACATGTCGAGCACCCGCCCTTGCAGCGAACCTAGTCGCAGTCAGCTATGTCTCTGCAACCGCAGGTCAGTGGATGCACAAACATGCTGAGGATGCCTGTGCCGCAGCCGACATCGAGGACGACTTTGTCTTTGAAGATATGTGGATTTTGGTAGATAGCGTCTCGGTAAGATCGGGTCCGGACTTCATCTTTCTGCAATTGTGATCAGCTTGCGATTCACTACAGGTGGGAGGTAGGTTTGGTTCCGTACCAGCATCTCTTCGTGGATTCCATGATGATCGTAACTGTGCTTGGGATTACTTGACGCCATTGTCATTTTGGTAGCCGTACCAACCTCGTAAAGTAGCGAACTTCAGAATGTTCCATGCCCGCCATCCTTTCTTCGGTAGACATATTGGCCATATCAGCCACCGACGGGCCAGGCTTCGTGCCGTTCATGACTGCTGATATTGAAAACAAGGATTGAACCGGGGAGCAGTCACTGGTACAGTACTCTCTATACCAGCCGGTGAGCATGAATATTGATACCAGGCTAAACAAAAATAAAATAAAGTTTTGAGCCTAGACTAGCGAACACAGCCAGACAGGGAAAGGCACACGTGATCAATGCCTAGGCAAACTGAGAGTGACGATATTTGCGCTGTTTTCCATTAATTATAGTCTACCTAGGCAGCCTAGGTACTGGTGCCTGTAATTGGTAAATAGTCAACGCTATGAGTTGAAAAGAGCTCCTCTTTCAGAGGAAGCAAAAAATACCTCCAAATAAAATTTTAAAGTATCTGACAGACTGGACACAATGGGATTTGAACCCATGACCTCTCGCACATTTATTCCCTTCGTGTCACTCGTTGAGGGTAATGCAAAGCGAGCGCTCTACCCCTGAGCTATGCGCCCGAATAATAGTCATTTTGACTAAAAATCGGTACCTATAATATATTATCTTTTATCTTTTGTGGGATCGCTTGGCACTCGGAACTTTTCGGACACGTGGAATATCGGGAATAATTACTCACCGTTCTCTGAGACCGCGTCTTCGCTCGCACCTCGCAAATGGGTTTTCCACACAGTGTACGCACTCTTTGGAGGTTCTCGAAGCAGTAACTGCATCGGAGCTCTCACTGACTCCGACAAGATGACAAGCTTTTGCTCCAAGTCCCGCTGACGATGTTTATCTATTCCGGGACTTCTTGAACGAAACGTACAGGTCAAACAACTTCAGATATAGGTGGATTGACTGACTGGCTGCATTTTGGTTCTGCTCAAGGTTCTGCTCTATCTTTTATTTTCTACTACTTCTCAAAGCATGGTGTATGTATCCGTTTATCCGTAGGCGATGTCTGTAGCTCGCGTTCTCACGTTGGTCCTGGTAGGCTTCTGGGCTAAGCTGAGATGCCCACCTCTTCCTTTCTCTTTATATCTGCGTTCGCGTCGACATCATCCAGCACCGATTCTCCTCTCTTCGCAGCCTTCACGCGCAATTTCTTGATCCTCCTCGTCTGGCGTTCCGTTTCCCGCGTAACCCACCAGGTAAACAAGGTGACCAGGATACAAGCGCCGATGATGCCCATGGCCACGGCAAATGACACAGTGTAGTGTGGCGCATATTTGGACTGGAAGATCTGTGGTCCAATTGCCCCACCAATCTGACCGTAGCTGTTGACAAAACCGATGGCGAACGCAGATCCCGTTGCACGAGAAGTGGTCTGAACACGCCACGGCCACATCATGGGGTACCAACTTTGTGCAATTGAGTTGGCCAACACAGTCGCTGCGTAGACGCCACCGTTGTTAGGAAACGTGTACAGCACGCTGTAACATGCTAATATGGACACGAGGAAGCCGAGTGGGATTGTGGGGCGAGGCAACCAAGCGCTGTCTGCGAAGTATCCGGAAACGGCGATGATCGTTATGGAGAGGAAGGACGTGGGTATATTCAGGAGTTGGCTTTTCGCAATTGACCTGTTGAGAAAAGAGAATGAGTATCGTAGATGAGTGTTTTCCGGGCGTTTCAGCGAGCTTGCGGGTACTTACGTGAATCCCAAGTTCGCAATGACCGTCGGTTGATAGAACCCCAGACCTGTCGTGCCAACAGTCATCGTTGCCCAGACGAGCGTAAACAGCCACATCCTCTTGTCCTTCAAAGCTGTGACGATTTCGCGGAAGCTGAAATTCAATTCTTCCGCTCGCGGGGCATTGGCGGGCAAGCGGGCTTGGATGAATGCCTTTTCCTTCTCGCTCAGCCATTTGGCCTGCTTCGGGACTGTACAACTGATCAGCCCGCGATTTTCTCCTGAGAATCACTTTGTACTCACAGTCTGGCAAGACGAAAAATAGCAAGATACCAAACGCAATTGTAATGACCCCTTCGACGAGGAACAGCCTAGCAGTAATCTCCATGAGTCGACCTTTCCCTTTTCATTGAGGAGGAAGCAGTTCTGAAGCTTACCATTGCCACCCAGAAAGGCCATGGCTCCCTGAGATTGTGTCGAAGCCGAATGCCAACACGCCACTGAGGACATTGGAGAAGTTTCCAAGAGCATAAAAGTAGAGGAGACGAATCGACATCTCGTCGGGCCGGTACCAGTACACCATTTGCAGTAGCACGCCGGGAAACATGCCTGCTTCGCACATGCCGAGGAACCAACGGGCTGTATAGAGTCCAGCCTTGTTCTTGACTGCAGCATGGCATGCGATTGCAAGACCCCAGGAGATCTGCGACATCATCAACATACTGCGAGAAACTCTGAGTGAGGACTATTCCTTACCAAGATGCGGGACTGCCATCGAGAAGGAAGCATCTTCTTGATGAATAGGTTGCTCGGAGCCTCAAAGATGATGTAAGGTATCTATGTTGCAATGAGTACTTATGTAGACCAAGTGTAAGGGGATGTAGCGGGCCAACTCACAAAGTAAATGGTCGAGACAAAGTTGTACTCATCCGCGGTCATATGCAGTTGGGTCATAATGTTGTCTGGGGTTCCCTTATTCATGATTCGAGCGTTGGCCGCCTGTGAAATTTGGGTCAGTGCCTGATATTGACAGTCCCGGTCAATGGGCAGTGGAAGTAGCTGGTTCATACATTCTGATAGTCCATGTTCTTGAGTAAGAACATGATACTGCACAATGGCATGAGATGCCAATCCACCCTCCGCATCAGCTTCTTCTCCTCGGCCGCAGTCAGTAGAGTGCGAGCCTTCATCCGCGCAGCATCGAAACCGACGATCTCATTCTCAAGGGAAGAGTCCTCTGCAATCTCTTCACCACGACGGGCGACATGGATCCCATTGTCCTCTTTGGTCTCTGAGACAACAGGAATGCTTGAGTTTCCCTTGTCATCCGAGACAAAAAGCTTGTCTGCCATTGTATCCCAAGAGCCTTGGGGAAGCTTAGATGCTGATACGAATGCTTCAGTCCCAAGCCCAAGGTACATCTGGCCAGGCCGTGCTCTTTGTACTCGAGCGAAACATCGGAACGCTCCCCATTGCTTACCATTTCTCTGGGATCAAAAGGGACTTCTCCGACTAGATGCGGAGTTGTGTGGTGGTTCCAGACACCTCATTGGGTTGTTGTTGCATATCAAAAATGATGCCATCGGTATAGCAAGATGATGCCATCGACAACCGGCATAAACTCATATCCCACCAAAAAGGATCAATCTTTTCAAACGGCGCCGTTCATAATAGCAATTATCCTCCCTTTTCTTCCCATTGACCATTATCTCGGATCGGAGTTAGGGTCGTCTAACGCGCGGCGCCATCAAGATTCCTGTTCCACGGCAAAAGAGGGGAGTGAAGTCAAAGGAACCGAGACCATTTGGCCACTTCCCCTGATGTCTAGAGTTAGCCATCAAACTGTGAGATTTCGTAGGTATAATAGACCAGCACACAAGAGATACCTCGATGCCTGGCCGTCTCTTGCTGCCCAGCCATGGGTCATTCTGGCCTCGAGGAGTGTCCTTACTCCCCGTCGCTGACGGGACAGGTGGATGATCTTGATGGCTTAGCGTTGGCTAGTGAAGACGAGGATCTTGCCGTTGAGCGTGTAGTCCATGAGTTAGAAAAGTTAATGGCAAAAGTCCCCTTGGTTGACGCATGCCGATGGACCGAGACGTTGTGCTCCATGCTCTCTTGAGCCGGTGTGAGAGAAGGATGAATTCCACACTTTGTCCAACCGCCACTTGGCGGTGCCGAGGAAGTGGAAGCCTGAATTTTCGCCTGCGTCCATCACGACACAGCAGAGTATTTCAATAGGACGTGGTTGGTGACTGAAATGCGAGTACAGGCCCGCTCAAGATAGGGGACTTGATTTCTCTCTCCAGTCGACAAATTATATTGTGTGATACACAATTCTAGTGCTGAATCGCTTCAGACTTCGTTCCACCGCGTCGTTTTCTACTTATCCATGACTTCAACCAACCCTCTTCCCTCCAACACCACGCTAGAGTCAAACTATCCTGCTCGTTGACCAGCAATCCAATATCTCGAGTGACTTCTCAAATACAAAAAGGCTCAGACAACTCAATAAACAAGAGGCACGCTTGCTAGCTTGACGCTGCCAATCGCTAAACTGCTGGAAATCAATATAGTGGCAATAAACCCTGCATAAGCTGAGTGGCGGCTCCTCCGGATCAAATCCCCCCTCCAGCCATTATTCTTTTGATATCCAATATTTGTGTCCATTGATTAGTTTTCCAATGTCTTGCTTGCGCTGCGTATCCGCTCATCGCCGAGAGCGGCCAGCCAGAGACACCGCTCAACGATTCCCTGGACTGGTTCAAAGTTGTACCTGGAACTGGCATCAATTAGCCGTAGAAGACCTTTGACAATGATAGCCGTGCTCCTATAACGTTCAAAGTTGACAAGCGACTCGTTCCCGCGAGTACTTGCAACATGAGAGGGCTTTTGTGCATTATATGTCAAGTCACGAATATACAATCCTGGGGTACACGTTAGCATCTGCGTCATGGGTCGTAATGAAGAAATGACCAACCTAGAAATGGGATGCAGCCACCGCTGAGATCGGATGATTCCATTTCCACCCTCAGATCGTGGAAATTACGCAACGGTTGCGCGAGTGCTTCCATATGTTTCAATAACGACTTGTCCGAGCTTGACACCAACTCCCAAGTCCTTGCGAGTCGCGTACAGTCGGTCGAGGTCAGCGCAAGCGTGAGTTGCAGCATTGTGGCGTAGTTGTGTAGTCGGCGAGCATGTGCTGCGACATGGATGTATTTGGTGATGACTCGTGCTCTTTCATGAATGTCCTGTGTCAGAACAATTTCGGACAAGGTCCATTTGACAACTAGGTTAAACCGCGTGCTGACTAGATCAATGCCTCGCACGTTTCCGTTGCACACACACTCGACCCAATCTAGAACGTCATCTGTCTTGCTGCTCCACCGCATCTCGACCAGGTCGGACCATTCGACTTCGGACAGTGCAGACTTTTCTATCAGTGTCATTTGTTGCGCAAGAACTTGCGAGTCGCAAGCGAGGATGAAAGGCATATGCGCCGGACCTGCCGGGAGACGTGCCAATGGCTCTGTGAATGATAGGTTTCTTTGCTCGGTGGTCGGCTGATCTTTATTCTGGCGTTGAGTCGTTTGCGCTGTCTTGCTCTGTGGCATGGGATCCGAGGCTCGTTCTAGTGGAGTTGGGATGCGCAAGTTCACCACCGAGGCATAGGTCAACGGGTGTGCTGGTATCTCCAGCCCAGATATAGCTGTTCCAGGGGCGGCAAGCATGGGCGAGATAGAACGACCTGCGACTTCGGAATAATTGATGATGTCCACAGATATCTCTGAAGACAGGTCTGAGAGGTTCTCGTCTTCATCTAGAAGGAAGGATCGTGCACTGTCGTTGGCAGTCTCTGGTCGTGGAATACTTGTCCTGTGCTTGACTCCGCTCGGTGGAGGTCCCTTGGGTAGATGGAATAGTTGAGGAGGATCTTGTGGAAAATACCCCGGTGCAACCATAGGCAAATCTGTGTTTGGTTTCATGGGCAGAGCCTCGGCGGTGCTCTCATGACCTGCTTCCCGTTTCAATAATGGCAGAGATCCATAAGACTCGTCAGAATCGGCCACGCTTTCCGTTGGAAGGCCGAAGATGGAAGATCGGCGAGAGGATGTCGGCTTCAGTTCCACCACCAGAGGCTCTGGAGTAAGGGGTTCGTCCCCAGACTGCTCCGAGGCGACTTCATCCACTGTCGTGCGAATGGCGCTGGTGAGAGCAGGAGCTGGCACCGGATGATCGGTGGTCGGTACGGAACTACTAGCTCCTGGCTGAGACATCCGACTCAGCTCTGGTAGGGATCGTCTCCTTGCAGCAGTGTCCAGCGGATTCTGTTCCATTGGTGGTGATCTCTTCTCGTACCGGCCCTCAAGCTTCATCAGGGTTGCTTCGAGTCCGCCATCCTCGTCATCGGGAATGGCAGAAAAGCCAGCGATAGCGGCCTCGAAGGAAGGCCGAAGGTGCTGGGACGAGTGAGTATTGATCAGAGATATGGGTTTTTTGGGTGGCGGGACTTCTACCGAAGCGATACGCTGAACAGTATCCGTTTTCATGATAAGTAATGATCCATGAGTTGATTCAGAGATGACGCTCGCAGTATCCAGTGAAGCATGGTGAAATGCATGATCCAATTCCTGCACGTTTTCCACTCGACGTAGGTCTCCTCCTGGCCTCCGTCTAAGGGTTTGCGGCGGGAGTCGTGTCTCGGGATTCGAGTGTCGCGCATCGATGTTTCCGTTCTGCATGGATTCTGGGACAGAGGCTTCTTCAGATTCAATGACAAGATCTGCATCCGCGAAAGTATCGACTGGCTTGATCTCCTCCCGAACAGTTCTGGAGCTGGCCGTCGTAGGAGAATGTGCTCTGTCAACCGCAACCGGGGACTCAGCCTGCACATCGAACACAGCATCGGGTTCGATGAGCTCTCTTGTGACCAGTTCTGAACTGCTCCTGTGTTCTTGTGCTGGTGGCAGACCTATATCATGTGGAAGGACGTTTGAACTCCTTTGTGTTGCAACACCATCAAGACTGGCTCTTCGATCATCCAGTAGTGTAGGACCAGGCATACTGAGTAGAGGTAAAGGAGCAGTCTCCCCGTAATCAAAGTCGATGTCTGGGACTGGAAGCGCGCCAGACATCGAAGGGAACTCTGGACGCGTATCGTCAACTATTAAAATTGAGCCACTTTGACGAGTGGCATGACTTGGCATTCGCTGTGGTTCCTGTTCATCCTCAGCTGAAGCGGCTGGCTGAAGAGGACGGTTAATGGCAAAGAATGGAGCATAACTGATTCGATGTTTCGAAGGAAATTTTGTCTCGTAGTTCTGACATGCCGCGGCCGAGAGAAGATCGATACGCATTTCGCCCTTTCCAGGAACAACCGTTCCAAGCTTGTTTCGTAGCTCGTCATGAGATTTAGAAACATTAAGAGGCAAATGTGCCGTTTGACCACGTACCGGACCATCTTGGGCAGACTGAGTAACTGTGATCAGGGTCATATCGATATGACCATGTTTACTCCCGAGAACCTTTCGTAACGAACCAAAGATATTCCTTGCAACAGGTTGAGCCGCAGAGTGTGTACCATGCTCCTTTCTAGGTCCTCTGGAGGCCCCCATTTCTCGTCTGTCGAGAGATTGCGTGGACTGCGAAGACACAATCTGAACGAAAGGAGTGCTTGGGCTGTAAAGAAGTCCTCGAATAATGCTTCCATCTTCCACGACCTGCACAGGAGGTTCAGCTTGCATTTTGCGAGGGGTTGGCTCTCTGTTGCTATCAATTGAGCTTGCTCCTCTCTTGTGGCCAATGACCTTTTGAGCTGGTAGGGGTTGAGTGACTACGTGCAAGTTCGCGGGCGCGTTCTTTCGTCTTAATTGAACAGAGACCGGATGAGGAGCTTTCGAATGACTTTCACTGCCACTACCGCTAGGGCGTAGAAGGTGCTTGGGAACGAAACAAGAGGTTGCTTGCACGCTGCCATCGCTCAGTAGACCAGAATTTCCCGATGTTTGGCGATCATGGCTTGGCCTAACGGCAGTATCTGCTTCGAACCAACTTTGTTGCGCCTTTCGTGAGACTGCGGTCTGGGGGGTTGCATGCTGTGCCTGAGCAGGATGAGCGACGGTCCCTTGCCGTGGGGTACGGTCAGTCTCATCCACTCCCCCGGGTTGAATGTCTTCTTCCTGTTCACCGTCCAGATCGAAATTCTCGGCACCCCAGCATAACGAGCATCGCCCATTCCAGCAACGTTTCAAGTCGCGCAGGAGTTTGAGGTCGCTGAACCCATTCGCTGGATTTGCCCTGACGTCGTTGTACAGTCTGTTGACCTCGTTACAAAAACGTACTCGAAGGC